ATTTTGCGTGCCATGCATGACCCGACTGCGCATGATTTCGGCGCCGCCCGTGACAGCGTCGGCCTTTCTGACTCAATTTCTTCCTGGCGCGATTGCGCCATCATTCTTGCTACTGTGGAACCTACTTCTTTCTACAAAGGGCCTCCCTCCGACGATGCCTGCCCCAAGGCCTTCTGCGCCACGGACGACTACGCCAACGACGCTGGCGAAGCCAGCGTCGTCAGCGCCACCCTGTCGGGCGAGGAGATTGCCATGAGGCTGAAACTCCGCAAGGCCACCGGCCTCAATTTCTACAGGGGCAGCTTCGTCGCGAAACGATTAGGTCGCACGGCGCCTTCAACGTGGTCAGCCAGGGCTTCGTCGTGCGGCGCCAGGTCCACTTCGACGTCGCCACGTGGAGGCCGCAGAACGATGACTCCCACGGGAGGGGCGCATTACCACTACGCCTTTCTCTCATTCGACTTCAGCAGGTCTAGAGGGCCTGCACCTCGAATGTACGACGTCGTTGAGCACTTGAGGGGCCACCTTGTCGGCCAGAGCTGCTGCAAGCTCAAAACTGTAAGGGACCGCTTTAAAGATCCTTCCATAAAGATAGCCCATTTATAGCTGTTAGTTAAGGGCCATCACTCCACCATTGATTTTGTTTACCAGACTGAAGATTCACCATGTCAATCCTCGCCCGGTTCAAATCAGAAAATATATAGGTTAGGCTATACAAGGTGGTGCCCCATAGTTAGCTAAGTTGGTTTATAACTCCCATAACTATGGTTTATGGTAGATATAACTATAGCTACTGGGGCTTACAAACCAACTTATAACTATGGGGCACCACATTGTAGACTTTTAAGACCCGTCTTCATATATTTGCGTTTCTACTGCTCTGTGAGGGGCCCCTTGGAGAGTTCAGCGAAACTGATGTCTTCACACTCAAGCTTGCTGGAAATTTGAGGCCTAAACCTTGTGTTGGTAGGTTGACGGAATAGCCATCATATAGGGACGTATTGTTTTGCAGCTTAGCTAAGATAAAACACATCCCATCATTGGTTGAGCCATCAAAATCCATGAACATAGCATTGGTTAAAGTCAACTTAAGTGTGGGCTATCTCAAAGCATGTGCGCATGTGATATTTATATGTGTCACGGAATGTATGTTTATAATTCAACCGTCAACAGTATGCATATAGTTTTACATGTGTATACATACAGAAATATGTATGTTTGTGTGTGTGTGAAATGTAATGTAACGGTGGCACCATGTTGTAGATATGTCAATGCAAAGAGAGTTCATCAATCTTAAACATCTATGGAACGATACACAGAGAGAGAGAGAGAGAGAGGAAAAAATATATATATATATATAAATATGTGTGTTTTAAATAGCACCACCCAACCAGATGCCCAAAAAAGTGAGAAACCTGGAAAAGAGAAGTTATCATCTAATTTACATCCTAGAACCACCGAACTCGGCATCTTTTTGGAGATCTATTTTACCACAACAACTGAAACTCAACAAAAACTGCTAGAAAAACCAGAGATGTCCATCGATTTCCGTGGATTTTCCCAGGGTTTTTCCAGTCTGGGACCATGTTTTCCCGCACGCAGCAAGGTCTGGGTGCGGTGGGCGCCACCTTGGTAGCCTGGGCCGGCATCCGTCTGAAGGTGGGCAACGCTAAGCTGTGCGCTGTGTGTGTTTTTGTTGAAAGCTATGGGACAGCAACTTTTTGGCGGTAAACATAGGACATATATGGACATATGACTATGGATAAACATAGTTTGTTTGTAATTTTTGAAGTTTTGAAGATTTTTGTGGTAAACATAGGTTTTTGGTTGGTAATTGTCGGACATCCCCAACTTTTTTGGATAGGTTTACACAAGCTGTATTCATAAATGTGGTAAGACATCCCCAACAAATACATAAATTGAAATCATCCCCAAAATCACTTTTAGGGGTTGTATGAACCATCACCAGATACCAGGTGGTGCCCCCGTTCGAGAACGCTAAGTTGGGGCTCACATAACTCTAATTTCACGATGGTTTTTGTTGGTGATTATATCGAACTATATTTCATGGGCTTATAGCCAATTTATAACTGGGGGGAGCACCACCGTATAGGACCCCCCCAACGAAAATGCCATGGTCTCTGGGGAGCTGTTGTGGGATTTTTCTTGGGGAATCTCTTTGGGGAAATGGGAAATCTATGGGGAATCTTTTGTCGGATTCTTGTTGGGGAATCGATGTAGGAAAATATGGCATTTTGGTTCGGAATCTATGGCCCAGATGCTCCATGTATGGTATATTTACCTACATTTGCCCCAAAAATTGTCCAAATGTAAGTAAATATACCATACATGGAGCATATGGGTGGTTAAAATGCCTGAATATCTTTGATTTGGGGACTCTTATGGCCAAGATCAGGATCATCTGGAAATCAGTGAATCAATCGTGCGGAATCTTCTTCTGGCAAGGGGCTCATCTTGATCAAATCATTGGCAGAAAAGACCAAGCAAAACCATCAGCTGAGGGTAAAAAACCATGCTGTTTCATGCCAGTTGTTTCTTGAACTCAGAGGCAGGCAGGACCTTTCGATGCCTTTTGTGGATCAGTGGAAGATGGGTCTCTCATGGAGATGATCCCTGTAGGGTCCAGGATTCCAACTCAACAACTCACACCGTGGCACAAAACTTGGGAGAAAAGTTGGGAATTTAACTCATCAAAAAAGGTTGACTCATTGAATTGATTTATTGAAAACCAGCAAAAAATCAGGATATACCCACTTAGCATCAAAACTTAGAAGCCATGACACAACTTGAAACACCATTGGCATATTATTTTCCGGAAGTGCCGGATCACTCTAAGAATAATGGATGTGAGGATCGACTGAGGTTCTATGCCCAGCATAAGTTCGGTTCAACGCATGTTTCATGGTAGCGGCGGGATATCACTCGCGATTCGGAAGTAAGGAGGTTAAATGACCTCAACCCATAGTCACATGGCAAAATTGTTGAAACCACATTCATCAAAATTGGCTGATTTGACGAGAACAAATAGTTTGAGAATGTTTGAGATGGTTTGAGTTTGAATCTCAAATATTCACCACTTTGATACTTTGGACATCTCAGATAATCCCTTTCCATCCCTTTCCCCATTCATATTAAACACCCCGAAAGCCTGCTTCAGTAAGGGATTTACACATATTTGGGACCATACGGTAGGATTTTTTGAATATCAGGGGGGTCGGGATTAAAGTCACCATAGATTGTAGATATTGTCGTTTATATATGTTTATATCCCCAACATATCACCGTTTTTCCCATGTTTTCACTGTTTAGATAACCACATTTTTCAGGGTAAATCCCGAGTTCACCTTCAAATGTTCCACTTGGTGCTGTGAGGTGCGGAAAGCCAACCAACCACCATTTCGGTTGCTGGAATGTCCCGCGGCATGAAGGGATTCATCCTACAATTCTCGCGCTAGCTGACGTCAGGATTTCGATTCTGTGATTGTGTAGTTTGAAGAGTGTTATTAAGTGGGGATAACGGATCCAACTTATATAATATCTATCATCAGTAGGGGTTGTACCATGTTACACTAATGAGTCATAATGAACATTGTCATTTTCACCACAGGGTGACCGCACCAGCCACTTGTTGAGGTTACGAGTTCATGTTCTGGTGGCCGGTGCAAGGGGTCACCTTTGCCACACTGCCAGTGGTCTTTGCCTGCGGCTTCATCAAGCTCCTGCGACTTGGGCGAATCACTGGGAGATTTGCGGTGGACCTTGGGGCCGCAACCCCCAAGAGCTGATAAGATCCAGTCCTGGAATAGCGATAACTTGACGCTTGTTTGAATCTTGTCTGGGGGTCTATATACCAAAAACATTCATACGTTGAGTAAACTTCAATAGTGTAATCTTCGGCGATAAGGGGGAACTGGTACAAACCAGCTATGTTCTCTTTCGAAAAGTGGCAAGAACTAGAGTAACAGTTGACGTGCGTTCGTCCGGCCAGGATTTTGATTTTTATGGTTTTTCCATAGGGGATTTTCCCCTAATCCAAGATGGCGATGCGTTAGATCTACCCACGGCCACGGCAAGCCATGACCAGTGGAGGGTAACAGATCTTGTCCAAGAAAGGGAGGTGAGCCCCCGGCTCAGAGGACCTTTTTGGATGGCTAGCCCAGGGCAAACCCACCGGAAGTTGAACCTGACATGGGGGAGATTTTGTTTGAATGAAGTTCACAAAACCGGATAGATATGTTCTTTCCCAGCCAATTTTTGAGATGAGAATCCGCAATTCTGAAGCGATGAAATGTTTCAGATAGGTTTAAACATGGTTAAACATGGTTAAACCAGATACTGGTCCACATTGCTAGCTGGGTCTCTTGGGAACTGAGGTTAGCGCCTGAGTTTAACTTCACTGGCGCCATACCCTGCACCTACGGCGAGTTTCTTGGTGGCTCCGGATGGCCCCAGGAGATCCCTGCCGATTCACTTTTCTCATCAAGAGATCTCCATGTTTGGAACAAAAATCCGTGAAGCAACAATTAATAAATGATGATAAATGGAGATTCCACAAGTGAAGCAACATAAATCTATAAAAACCCTTAAAACAAATCATCTAGATCTAAATGAATAAGTACATAGATATGTGAAGCGACAGACGCTAGCGGCTGAACTACTCCTTGTCATTGGGCTTGGCTCGCCTTTAGCAGGCCAGACTTCTGGAAATGGCGATAGAGAGAAATATATGTGAAAGCAAAAATAGATATACATATATATATATATATAAGTATAATTATACATAATTATATATATAGGGAGAGAGAGAGAGAGAGAGATACCCATGCCCATGCACACACACACACATACTGCACATATATAATTGCATATACGTATTACATATGCATATACGATACGTTTGTTTATGTCGCTGGGTCACATCCAGGATCCGTGGTGCTGGTAAAAATGCTAAGATTTGGGGTATATTGATGGTAAATCTTACCATTAATATAGCAGCACCGTTAGGATCCTATGGATGATGTGGGTAATGGAAAACCCTATTCAAATGGAACATTACGGGGAAAAACCTCATTTTAAGAAGCCTCCATATTCTATAGAATGGATATTTCCCAATCACTAAGCCATGACATCCATGGAGCTTGGAGTTTCCAAAAGCTGACTGCTAAATGACTACTTGGATGACATGCCATATACTATACGATAAATCAGGGTTGCTCCAACTCATTCAAGCATAGCCGCAAGGATATTACGTTAGCTATAGTGACTATAGTGTTAACAAATATAACAACATATTCTCATCAATAACATTCAACAACTGGAGTTAAATATGGCAATGGTTACATTTGCCATATGCCTTAGTTATTCCCTGCTATTGTACACAGTGGGTCGATAATTGCAGAGAACTTTGTTCTAAATTCACAATAGTTCACTTGCCATTTAAAACCCTTTATATAGTATCCTTTACTCACTAATTGCCACAAACACCAGTCATATTCATAAACCAACCTAGCTAGTTACCATTTCTTCGTGTCATTTTTGGGTTGCGGGATGCCCTGTGCCCATTTGTGCCCCAGGTTGGCCTCGGCTCAGACGGACGAGAGCGAATCGGAACGCTGTCGTCAGGGTCGCACGGGCACATGCTTTTTGCTGGCCGGGTGCCTTGCTCGCATGGGAAGCCGAAGAAGTGGGTGTCTTTTTCACCATGGGGAAGATGGGTTGGATAGCGTGAAGCGTTGCCTGAAAATTTGGCTGAATGAACTATGGTATATGCTAGATTTAACGAACTAGTTCATGGGGGTTATAAACCAACTTAGAACTGGGGGGCATCATCCTATACTCTTTGGTGAAAAATGTTCATTTATAGATGATTGGTGGGGATTTATTTGCTAGGCAGGCAGTATGATTTTCCATAGCCATTTTAAAGTGCCAGGGGATAAATAAGGAGACTTTAAACAAGAACAGCTGCAAACAAATTGGGCCATTGAGTAGTCAATAGATTAAGCTTATGCTTTAGATGTGGCCTTTTCTTAGCCAGCCAAAATTGTCGAACTCGGTTTTGCTTGATGTCAAGCAGGACATCCCAAGCGTCCAAAGTCAGGGAGTGGTGAGTTGAAAGCGCTGCTCAGCCCTTTTCAAAACCGTTGCCACTGGTACAGCAGGGCAGTACCCCTTAAACCCCTTAACCCCAGCTACTGTGGTTAAGCCCGATAATGAACCATAGAAATTAACCAACCATGACTGGGGCTTATTTTACATCATCCCAGTCACAAGGGTCCCAATTTCATCATAAGGGCCTACGGATGCTTCTCAGACATGGGCTGTGCAGGGGCCATGACCCACATCACAGACCTGGCAGGGTTTGGCAGACATGATAAGGGACGAGCCGGTGGTGCCCGGCATTGACGTCCCGCAGCGTGCCCAGCCAAAGTGAAACTCCCGACGCGTCAATCGCGTGATGGGCGTCAAGCTCATCAACCGTCCCGATGACGGGTGCGTTTCGGACGTGTCGAAGGTGAACTCCATGGCACCCTTTAATGGAGCGGTGGCTGGCACTTTCCCTGGATTGGAGGCTGGTGTTGGAACCGGGTTCCAACCCAGAATTCTCTCCTACGGTGCGGTCAGCTCTGGGGTTGGGCCCTCAGAGGATCCTGAGTCCTGGCTGATTCCTCTGGAATGCGCCCGGGTCCTGGAAATTACGGGAGGATCTACCCTGATAGAATCAGACCAGGCAGCAGAAAGAGCATACTTCTGATAGGACAATGTTCATTCTTCTGAGTTACAATTGTACATGTGTGTACATGTGACACATGTGGTCAGTATTGCACATATACATTGCGTAGAAGTACCTAGATATGAATAGCAACCACCAAACAACTGCCTTTTGAAGTGTTTCCAGGATGTTGGTCCGATGATATTCTGGCTGGTGGTTTCAGACAATTTTTATGTTCCATAATATATATGGGATGTCATCCTTCCCATTGACTTTCACTCCATCATTTTTCAAGATGGTTATTGCACCACCAACCAGTAATGGTATAGTAAACCATGGTTTAGTAATGAATGAAATATTAGTGGTATATGAATGGGATATTAAGGGGATATGATATCCAACTCTCCAACTTTTCGTTTGTTTTGGACATTTCTTCCTTTTCATAGTCACCTCACACGACTGGGATGGTGACGAAAAATCATTGGGTTTACCAGGCTTACCACATTCCCATATGTTATCGAACTATATCAGCAGGACTTCCCCAGTTATGTTTGTTGCATTTTGCTGCTTTATCTTTCACTATTGATATATCCACCACAAACCTTAGTTTATGAATTGTATACCAGCTTGCCGGTCATAAATCACCTATGAATCCCAATTTGAGTTGCTTAAATTTTGATTATCATTGAAATTATGTAAATCCCAACCAGAAAGAAACCAACTTCAGAGGCACCTGTCACATACATATATATATATATACACATACAGCGGTGTGTAATATTTAGGGGCACACACATATATATATATATATACTATATACATATTACCGTATGTATATATGGCTTGGACAGAAAATAAGGTACCCCTAAATCCAGTGGTTTATCATATGTTATGAGAAGATGCCATCTCTGGCCGAAATCTTTTCGGAGAACCAGTCGAACCGAGGATGTTGATGTTGGTGTCAGGGAGCCGTTTGATCATCCCGCGCTTGCGGGAAGTGGAGGATGGCTGTGTTGTTCTTTGGGCATGGGCCACACACATGTTAAGGCTTTAAGACCCTTAGTTTGTCACGGGTTTGGTTGCGATACAGATCTAGGTTGGGTTTGTTGGATTTTGAACTGATTAGATGGGTTGACACTAGAAGTTCAACCGAGTTAGAAGGGCATTTTATTCAAGCACCAAGGTCAGTGATTACTGTGATGGTCAATGTACCACTTTGAGGATCAAATATTCTGAGATCTGACAGCAAATGGAGACAGAACCAATCTATAATGAAGACACATGAAGAAACGGGGAGTGAACAAATGGGGTGCATGAGTGAATCTATTGAAATATGGTGCAAAGATGTGGATGGGCCAGGCATATTAGTATATATATTATATATGAGTGATTCACAGTGATTAGTGATACAACCCAGCAATGATGTTGACATTGAATCAATCGCGAAAAAAGGGTGAATTTGTAAGATCTTGGGAACCATCAGAACCATCCTGTCCTTTTCGGCCGCTGAATGTTTGTCAGAGTTTACCCTCTGGTTATGTCAAAAGTTTGCTATTGAAAATTGCAATTTATAGTTGATTTTCCCATTAAACATTGTGATTTTCCATATTTTTTTGTATGTTTACCAGAGGGTAAGATCTTAAAAAACCAACGAGTTTACCATTTGCAAGTTCTAGCGGCTTAAGCATGCAGATGCCAGAATTTGCGAGATCACACCTGGGGTATCCTGAGATGTTTGCGAGATCTCACAACATGCATTGCCACCTCTTTTTTTTGTTCATTAGCGTAGATGTTTTTGTCAACAAATGATTGCCTCATGACTGCTTCTCCAGATCTGGATTTTGATGCCAAACGCATTTCACTTTTCGTGGTGCAGGAGCAATTCCTCCTGCAGCAGCCCACGCATTTGCTGAGTTGGGAAGCGCAATTTTTCGGGTGGATTCTAAAAAGATAGCCCGCCCATTTTGTCCTTCACGGATCCAACGGTCAGTGATCAGCCATTAATGTGTGTTGGTGTCATTCTTATTGTTTATGGCTCACTTTGGTTGTTTGGTAATGGTTCACATGGTTCAATCATTTCAATCTACCCTCTGGTTATTTAACATAGCCATGGAAAATCCCTCATAAATGGAGGTTTTAATAGGAAAATCATCTATAAATGGGCCATTTTCCATGGCTATGTAACAAATAACCAGATGGTATAGTGTTTTTCTGCTTAAAGCCTTCTCTTTCTCGTTTCAGAATCGCTTACAACTCGCCATTTCTCCTGATCAATTGCCGAACGATTTTTGCTGCGTAGATCATGTCGAATCCCATATGTTTGTTGAATAAACCACTCAAAATCCCACTAAATCACAATTCTTGTATAGGTTGAATGAATCCCCTGAAACTCACTTTAAATCACCATTTTGGTTGGTTAAATCCCATGAGAACAAATCCATGAAATCACTATTTTGGTTGGTTACCCTCTGGTAAACATACAAAAAGCTATTGAACATGGCCATTTAGTTCGTGAGTTTTCCCATGAAAAATGGTGATTTTCCATAGTTATGTGGCTGTTTACCAGAGGGTAACCATGGATCTAAATGATCCCCGTATAGACCTCCCGTGGTCCGTGAGTTGGGTCTGAGCAACCCAGGTCGAGAAGGCTTGACCCTGCGAGCAGAGCAACGGCAGCAGATCAGGTGGGGATGGATGTAGATATTCATTGCATATCCTCTTTATATACACAATATACATACAATATATTTATATATACTGGTTGGTGGTTTGGAACATGAATTTTATGATTTTACATATATTGGGAATAATCAGCCCATTCGACTTTCATATGTTTCAGAGGGGTTGAAACCACCAACCAGTATATATATATATATATACATACACATACAATATATATATATATAGAGGTGTGTGTGTGTATACCTATAATTACATGTGTTTTTAGATATGTTTACAACATATAGAGATAGAAACAAACAAACATCCCTGGGGGGGCACCAATTTGCTGCAGGAGTTTGGAGTTTCTGGACCAGGTGAAGCTTCATTCAGCCCAATGTTCAGCTTAAACTCTCCAAGTATTTTACTATGTGGTTAATTATGACTAACATAGCCATGGCCATCATGGAAAATGGCCCATTTATAGATGGTTTACCTATTAAAGAGAGTGATTTTCATTGATTTTCCAGAGTTTTTTGTATGTTTACTATTTGGATCTATTTTGTTAATTATGACTAACATAGCCATGGTATAGATGGCTCATAGAAATAGACGGTTTACCGAACTTAAAAATGGTGGATCTTTCCATGGCGAACTGTAACAAATAACCAGATGGTAGTACAAGTCCAAGAATCACCGGGTATCACCGGTATATTGCCGCATTTTTCCGGGTACTTGCAGGATCCAGGAAGCTCTACTTTGAAAATCTCCAGTTTTCCACAGCAGTTTTGGCCAATCACTTTCCCATTCCCTCGTTCTTTTAAAGCAGGACGGTGCCCATTCGCTGGAAGCGAGCGCACTTGATCTTCGTGAGTCCTTTGGCAGTTTTTTTTTTGGCGGCAGCACCCCACCGCAACGGAGTTGGAGTTGTTTCCAACATAGGTAATGATAATCGAATAAACCTGCTAATCATTACATTAAATACCTAGATGGTCAAAACACCAATTAAATGTGTTCATCACTTGATCAAAATGATGGTAATGATAACAATGATTAAGTTGAATCACAGTGATTTAACAACACAAGAGTGATAGCAACAGTAAGAATGATATTAAGAAGAAAAACAGTGGATGTGTGACCTGGGCACAAGTCCGTGCCCATTATTGTTTGTTGTTTTCGTCTCATTTTTGTAGGTTTGGGCAGCCTTGAAATCCTGGCTGAAACACAGCTGAGGTGTGTTTCTGATCTTTCCCTTGACCTTGCTCTGGGAGTTCACCTACTGCGACTTCTTTGGCGAGAACGCCTTGTGCCCCGGAAATGTGCGAAACCATGCTGTGGAGGCCTTGAGAATCCGTGACAGTGTGGGAAAACCATGGAAAACTGCGCTCAAGGACGATGTGAAACAGATTGAAACTGGCTGCAAGTCCTTGCGAACAGGTGCCTCCAGGGTTTATACTATATATAGTAAGTGACCAGCCCCGAAAATGGATGAGCATCCACAAACTTACTCACGTTGCGTGACAAAACTCTAAATCAACGAAGAATGAGATGTTATCCCAAAACTGGTTGATCCTATTTTTCTCATCAAATTGGCACATAATTTTAGCTTATGTCCCCTCACATCTAGACTTTTTGGAACCTGGCTCAGCTTTTTGTCTCAGTGAATTGTAAGGGGAAAAAAAGAAAGACTCCAATCAATTTGATGTAGATTTTTCCCTTAAAGGGAATATCCCCAGAAAATATGGCCTTATATGGTACAGTACCTCCATTTTAGGATCCTGAAATTCCCACTGATTAAACCAATCCAATGAAAGTCAGGTACTTCATCATCGGCTTCAGTTTCGCCATGAATTTCGTGGACAACGCCTTGTCCAGGCACGTCGAGGTTTTTGATGAGCTGGTGACAGCTGGGAGGGGGAATGTTCTACTTTTCTGCTACAAATGTCCGAGTATTTTTGTACCCAGCTATATGCCAATCCGTTTCTTTCTGCTAGGAATCTGAGAAAGTCTGCGCAAGTTATGCAAGTGATGCAAGCTTATCCAATGACGGTGATCATGTGTAACGATCATCCAAGGCTTCGGCCTGGTTACAGATTTGGTTTCTTTCATCCCCGACCTTGGGTAACGCCGTGGACTGGGTAAAAACTCATTTGCATTTTTGTTGCTATGGCAAATAATTATAAGCAGCAAAAGCATATATTCTTTGTGGACTACCAAAGATTGAACATAGTTTCTTTGGCGAGGTGTAACTGTACGTGTTTTGTTTTGAGTCCCATCACCCGTTCACAAAAAAAATACCCCAATTGATGGTGAACCATTGATGTGGTTTCATTCCCCACTGAACCATGCTAAAGCATGTTTTTTTCGTTTAGTAGTCGGTTTTTCAATTTCTGAACGGTTGATGAGCCAGCTGGAATATGTTGTTTCATCAAACGACCATCCGCATGTAATATATATATATATATATTTTATATATAAACATCCCAGCTGGGTTTTCCCTTTGTTTTCCTATGTTTTCCATATGTTTCCATGGTTCATTGGATTGGTTTAAGGATTCATTTTATACAGGAAACCATGGTTTTTACCATTAAATATGGGGGGTTCCTGTGATTTTTCCCTTCAACCAATCCAATGAATGGTTTTTCCAATGGTCGTGCGAGGCAATCCGCACAAGCCAGAAAACTATGAATCTGGCTCGACATGAGAAGTGTGGAAGTGTGGAGCACATGCTCAGTTCCCTTGGGGATGGTTTTCCACGGTTTTTTTCCCATACATAGCTATTGAAAATGGTGATTTATAGTGGATTTACCCATTAAACATGGTGATTTTCCATAGTTATGTGACAGTTTACCAGAGGGTAAACCTCCATTTCCTATGGTTTTCCCAGGGTTTTCCTATGTTTTCCTATGGTTTTCCTATGTTTGTTCCAAGTCCCTAAGCCAAGCCCTATTGGGTTTTCTGCCTGCGCAGGGCGGTGCGAGAGGAGCTGATCCAGGTGCCCTTGTCCACGGCCTGCAGCGTGGTGCTCTTTGTGGGTGCCCCGGGTGATTTTTTCGGTGGAAAAGGCGTGGTTTTTTTTCGTGGATATGTTGGACTTCATGGATTTTTCATGGGATTTGTTTTTGTTATTCAAGTGTGATTCAATGAAATTTATTGGGATTTATATAATGACATTTCATTGGATTTAATGGGATCGAGTGGGATTTTCGTGGGATTTGAGAATCACCCATGGGGATTTTTACACACATTGATCCCTTCGGTCCATCATGCGTGGCTGCACTTTTTTCTTCCGAGATTCGAAGGTTGAATCGGAGCGTGTTTGATTGGCAGATGGCATGATATGTACCCTCTGGTTATGTCAAAAGTTTGCTATTGAAAATGACCATTCATTTCGTGGATTTTCCCAGCTATAACATGGTGGATCTTTCAATAGCTATGTAACTTAAATTACCAGAGGGTATGATGCATATGAATGTAATGTGAACCCTGGATTCATAAACCCCAAACGATTGTTGAATTGGGAGGGTACCATAAAAAAGTATCATATGAAATGACTATTAAAAGGGTGCCCCCCTAATTAATAAACCAGGGTTTATTAATCCGAGGTTGACATTACATGATCTATATGGCAAGCTATCCAATATAATTGGGAAGGATCATTATCTATGGAAAAACCTATGAACTATTTCATGGAATATGTAGGTATGGCAAGCTATCCAATATAATTGCTGACATGTTATCATCCTCCAATATGGACAAACCATGAAAAACCTATAAACCAGCCAGTATTTCCTGGAATGATGTGGGTTTTGAACACTGGCCGTGGAATTTCTAGGTACCCTGGGGGCTGATGACTTTGTGGACTTCTGCGAAGGCAGGGACCAAACGGTTTGGTGCAGGATTTCATCCACATGTTTTCCACCGTAGAGATGGAAACATGTTGAAACATGTTGAAACGTTTTTTAATCAAAGAAAATCAATTTCAACATGTTGAAACATGTTGGAACATCTATCTATTGATGAAGTGTTTAAAGTTTCCCTTGTTGATGATTGGGTTCATGCCGATTCACATCAATGAACTTCGCAAAGGTGACCCGATAAACTCGGCCTTTTTTCGTGGTTGGCTCGGCAGGATCATCGTAATTGGTGAATCGTCTTAAGCTTACACAAAGGTGCCCCCCCAGTGATGTTTGTTGGTTTATAATCCCATGAAAACTATAGATATATCACCTATAAACCATATAGTTATTGGAGTTATGTTCACCAACTTAGCTATCTTGGGGGCCTCACATTGTGCAGTAAGTCTCCATTTTGCCTCACGTTATCACGCTCGAAGCTAGGTCCAAACCCCTCATGCATACCTCTGGGATGGTGTAACATGATCCCCTTTTATAGTCGATAATTCTATAAATGTTAATATTTGTTAGGTTAACAGATAATTATCAACTATAAAAACTAGTGTTAAAACTATTCTTATATCGGGTTCATGATCCCCTGGTACATAGTTGATAATGTTTGGGCTGAATTTTTGACCCAGAGGATCCCCCAAAAAGGTAGAACAGTAACTTCCCACTTTGATTCTTCGTAGGATTTTACCTTTCTATTGCTGGGGGGGTTGCTATCAATTGCTCTCAGGGGATATATGTGTTCAGTTCCAGTTGCTTGCCATCCCGTCGAAGGTTTCTTCCTGGAGCTTCTGTACGGCATCGCCGAGCGCTTGATTTTGGGGACCCTCTTCGAGGCAACGATGGGTTTGGGTGACATTTAGAGTCGTACTTCATATAAAAGTACGCTTTTATTTTTCACATACTCAATTTGTGTTGGGGCACTTGTTGCATATGCAATTTTATGAAACAAGAATGTGAAGAATATGCTGAACTCAGAGTTTACGCTCTGGTATTTGTTACATAGCTATTGAACATGATCATTTAATAGTGGATTTACCCATTGAAAATGGTGATTTTCCATAGGTATGTAGCTGTTTACCAGAGGGTAGATATCCTTTTGGCCCACTCCTTCCAGCAATTTTGGCCTGTGCCTCAGGCAATCGATAAGGGCACGGCGTATGCAGCCCACTGGGCCAAGCATCTCAGCTGCAGAAAGAGTTACCCAATCCGGCCCTCCGGTAAATAAATAAATACATAATATATATATATAGAGATATACAACAATTATGGAAAATCAGCATCTTTAGATAGGTAAATCAACTATACATGGTAGCAAGGAATACCAGACCCCAAAATCATAAATCGGGGCCTCGCAAATGGGTCTTTTCCGCTATGTTCCACGTAAATCTGGTGGCAACTCGTAGCTGATCAGGACCCGTTCCTGGTTCTGGCGATTTACCCTCATCCTGACGGCAGGTCGGGTTGCTGAGATGGGTTGGCTGGATATCTGTGCTTTAGAATCCATATATAACTCATAGTTCATCCCATATAGAATAGGGGATATCCCATATAACTATTTAATAGTAACTATAGGGGTATTAATCATTATTAATCCACAAGTGGATTTTGCAGCAGGTTTAACGCATTGCTTTGCCATCTTGATGGTCTGGATATGTTTGGAATACCTCAATTGTTCTGCGAAAATAACCATCACGTCCCAAGAGACCCACATCACTGCTTGATACTACCGAGGCTAGGTATGGATTGCTGGATGTAGCCTCTGGTTGTGACTAACAGTTAGCCATGGAAAGATCCACCATTTTTTAAGTTCGATAAACCATCTATTTCTATGGGCCATCTATACCATGGCTATGTTAAATAACCAGAGGGTAGTGTTTTCTTTCTTTCATCAATCCTCTCCAAGAAATCTCACAGCCATTGTCCACAAAGAGACACTTTTGTGTCCTAGCCTCACCTTCCAGGCCGTTCAACACGAGCCTTGCTGATGAACGAAGGTAAAGATGAAGAAGCAGCTTGGCTGGTTTACCCTCTGGTAAACAGCCACATAACTATGGAAAGATCCACCATTTTCGGTAAATCCACTATTTCATACTATTTCGACTGGGCCATTTTCCAGTTCGCAAACTGTAAGAAATTACCAGAGGGTAAGTGCCAACCCTTGGAGAATCGACTGGAAAATCCCGTACCCATTTAACACATCCCCAGAAACCACGGGGATGGGATGGGATACCTGGATTTGGTTGCCACTTCAGACTGCACAACAACGGTTGCAAAAGGGGTTTCCTAAGTCATGGGGGTACCCCAATATATTTGGAATATCCATAGTTTAGGAAACCTCCAATTATCCGGTGTTAGGTTGTGGTTCAGAGCTATAGTTAGGCTATAAGCATTGATATTCCCTATGAAATGAGGAGCCAGTTGGAGCTACGAATCGAGTTTCCCAGTATATATAATATATTCTGGTTGGTGGTTTGGAACATTGTTTATTTTCCATAATATATGGGATGTCATCCTTCCCATTGACTTTCACTCCATCATTTTTCAAGATGGGCACATTGCACCACCAACCAGTGATAGATCAAGCCATTCCAACCTCCATTTGCAGTGCGTTCCCATTCCCTTGGTGAGATCAGTGCTGAAGCGTCGCCAAGGAGATTTCCCCAGAAGAGGCCCGTTGGGACCAAGCGGAGCAAATTTCAAAGCTGACCAGCTGAGGGCTGTATAGTCAGACCAAAGCAGCAGCAATGACAACTGAGGATAGAACATGACAGAATATGTAGGTATCACATGGTATCACTGGCAAAAGGAACGCCTAAACGGTTTGATGAGGAACTAGTTATGATGCAGAAAGAGGCCATCATAGGCCATCTATGGCCAACAATCAAAGGCACATTGGCAGCATGAAGGAATGGCCGCTGGCCTATTGACTCAAAAACATCCCCAACCAACTGGATAGGTCGTCTAATCCTTTAAATTTTTGACTGCGAATGGAAAATAACCATAACCAGCAAACGATCCAGTTTTTGTGGACTACCAAAGATTGACCCTGAAACGAGGACATCCAATATCAAAAAGGAACTTCAAGGAAGTGAGATGCAGACCCTGAAACGAAAAGACAGAAGGTGAAGCAGAGAAAGAGATCCAGCAGTGGTTCACATTGCATGAACAAACGAGAACACTTGGGAAGTGGGGAAGCAGACAGGTTTCACCAGGTTCCAGCTGTTGAATCTCAAGTGTTTTGGCTAATCAGAAAGCAATTATTTTGTCCTTTGGTTAACCCCAAAAAGGATACAACCAGTGGCAAACAAAGTCTATTCTTTGAAGCTTGCCGTGCACCAATCATAACCAATCCTCATCACTAAAGTCGAATCCCATAACCCCATTATCATTGCCAATTGCATTGGTTTAAGGGAACATCTACAGGAAACCAAATTACTGGTTGGTGGTTTCAAACATGGCTTTTATTGTCCATTTCATAGAAAAGGGATGTCATCCTTCCCATTGACTTTCGCTCCATCATTTTTCAAGATGGGCACATTGCACCACCAACCAGTATTGATAGATCAAGCCATTCCAACCTCCATTTGTAGTGCGTTCCCATTCCCTTGGTGAGATCAAAATGGTTATTGCACCACCAACCAGGGGTTCTCCTGTTTTTTTCCCGTAATCAAAGTTGAATCTCATTGGTACAGCTGTTGAGCTGCCCTGCCCTGCCGCAGATGGTACAAGAAGGAACGCCCATCGAAGAGGCCATGGAGGAAGTCATTGGCTGCGGCACTACCTGCATGAGCAGCTCGGTGTTGTGAAGGAAGGGTTGGACATCTTGTGAAATCTTGTGAAGTTTGTAGGGGGATGGACCAAAACTGTATATATATATACACACATAATTATACATATACATATTAATATGATTTTGTTATATTATATTAACTCTTTTTGGTGTGTTATATGTATTTATAATATCTTTGAAAATGGATGTTTAAATTCTAAAAATTATTTAAATTCTAAGAATTACATATTTTTGGCGTATTTGAGGTGGGCATGGGTAAAAGGGTAAAGTTTTTACCTGCAATTAGGTACTGGAATTTCATGATTTTCCTCATGCAAAATGAGGGAAGTTTGGAGGGTAAATTGAACGTGGGGCTTTGGACACACCCAGATGGGAGTTTTATTTAGCCAAACAAAAGAAGTGTGAGATGGAAGCATGAAAATCATGTCTAGGTGTATGCACAGCTAGTGGCGACCTTTCAGAAACCAAGAGAGTCGGTTTCACCTGGTTCTGAGAAACAGCATTTCGTTCAGCATTTAAGTAATAGCTTGTTTAACTGGCAAGAGGCAACTGTTTTTGGGACAACTAAGAGGCTTCTCAACAACAAACTCAATAAATTGGGAGGTCAGAGTCCGCCAGTCATAGTTGCGTTCCAAGCATTTCAGTTGAGCCAATAAATTGGACCATCATCCTTAAGCCATGGCCATGGTTTCTCAGCAATGTTTGGGAGACACTCTGAGCATCAGCTTGAGTCTGTCAGGTACGATCATGACGCCTTTCATTATTGGCGCCATCTACGTCTTCGCACCTGAAACCGAAATTCCTGTGCATCTTGGTGGCGTTCAGCATGGCGAACCGTACATGGCCATGGGAGCCATGGCTTTCCAGTAGGAGAAATTCACTGACTTCAGTAGCTGACCGGTTGATGGTTTGGAACATGGCTTTATTTTCCATATATTGGGAATAGTAACCCCAACTGACGAACTCCATCATTTTTCAGAGGGGTAGGTCAACCACCAACCAGCTGAAGTTAGATTCCCAACGTGAGGGTCATCAACGGCTAGGAAGTGACTAGAACAACTTGTCCAGTCCAATCTTCTGATACGCTTAGCCATAAGTATGGCTACCGGTTCCAAAGCACTTGAAGATACACGAAAAACCCAACCCGCGGCGCAGATGTTATTTCTTTCTAATTTTCATGCTGAACTCTGAATGTAAGTGTTGGGTAAAGTCAAGTTCTGTATAGATCCACATGATTTTGACAAAATACTGGTTGGTGGTTTCAAACATTTTTTATATTCCATTTCATATGGGATGTCATCCTTCCCATTGACGAACTCTATCATTTTTCAAGATGGGCACATTGCACCACCAACCGGACTGCTAAACTCATCTCGTTTTGTCTCCAAATCTCCATGATTTTCCCATGGCGAAACTCGACCGTGTTGGTACGCGTTGGACAGTGACGGCCTTGTCGGATCGGAGAAAAACGGCCCTGAGATCATATGATATTCGCAGCCGGGACTTGATCTGTTACCTTCTCTTCGGTATCATCATCGCACCTTTCCAGGCCGGCTGCAGCAGAACTGCCATAGCTTTGGGGCTGAGGAATTCTTCAGTAAAAGGCGAAAGCCATCGTATACTAAACTACACATACCCTCACCTTGGTGAATGGTACGTGGCGTTCATGGTGAGTTCAACCACCATGCTTTTTTCGACCGTTGACCGTTGAGTACTGTAAACCTTGGATGACTGGTTCATGGGATCATCCGCCAGAAGATCCACCTTTCAAAATTTAAAAGTGCCATATGTCAGGTTTGTGTCTTGTGTGGTAAAGCCAATGTCATAAACCATCCCCAAAATCAACGAAAATTCACCAGAAATGGATGGTGAAAAAAACCTGATGTTTATGTAGTTTCGTAAGCCACAGTTCTTGAACCTCATAGCTGTTCAAAACCGGCAGGTGATGATGGATATCTTCATGAACCATGCGACTTGGCGGAGCAAAAAGAACTTGGATGATGTTTTGTGCTGGTTGTTACCCAGGAATTTCCATTAGGCAATTAGATCAATTAGGGGCTAGGTCAATTTTCTGATTTAGCGCTGACGCAAAAGATCTGCGGAAACCTTGGTTTCATGTCCAAGATTAGCATCCGACAAAAGTGTCTCTTCAATATCTCAAAGCCACATGTTTACGTTGAGATATTGAGAGATATTGAGAGATATTGAGAGATATTGAGATATTCTCTTGTGGCTATAACATGCTATAACGTTTTTTTTGGTAAGATATGTTAACGTTGTGGCTATAACTTGCTGGCGTTTCTTAGCTAAAAGATCTATAGATGCGGCTTCGCTAATTTGTCTTCTCCAACCAACCGACCAGGCCACAGAGCTTCAGAACAACGTGAGGATCTACGACTACATGCTTTACTCCAAGTGGCGCTGGCGCAACCGCGTGACCCGTTGCTTAGCGAAGCATGTGAACCGTGACCGGTTCGCTTTGTTGGGAAGCTTGGGAAGGTTTCCCTGATCCCAAAATACCTGTAAAATCTGTAAATCTCCTAGTACATACCATGGTTTCATGGGGGGTATTGAATATGGTTGGGGGAAGGGATGAATTGAAGAGTTTTTCGGATGAATATATTTTTTGTGATGAGAGTTTGGGATGCTGATGACGAAGATGTTTTGTGTCGGTGATATTTTGCGGATGATTTCGTAACTGTATGTCGCTGTGAGTCGCTGTGAGGTGGTTGTACTCAAACTTTTTTCCCAATGGAACTGAATATTCAACAATGTTTTCAATCCAGCACCCCAAGGTTTTCCAACATGTATTAGCAGGTACCTCAATAATCTCAATAACAACTTGGAACCATGAACAGCAATATGATGCAATATGTATCCTTATTATTCCTTATTCTTGTTTCCAACTAATTTCCAACTAATTTCACACTACTTTCGAACTATTTATATCGGTTGTATGTAGCCTACCATATCCCATCATAAGTCCCGTCTTCTAAGACTTCCGCATCGCTTTTCTGGATCGGCGCCACACGCCGCTGGAGCTCCGCACCCCCGCGTCGTGTTGCGTCGTCGTTCCGTCTTCGGGTCCCGTCGTCTTCGCCATGGCATTCCAAGCTCGGCGCCATGCCAACTCGGAGAATGTGAAGCCTGGCGCGGGGTAAACCATGGCACTGGCGGCACTGAAGAAATATGGCTGGCCATGTTTATATAAGCCAACTGTTTGTTTAGTGTAGATGATGTTTACCTTCTATTTCCAGGTTTCGTTTTTTTTTCCGGTATTGGCTTGAATATGGCTATCTTATAGCATGGTTTTCACTGAATGTTCAGTTCTTCAATAGCCATAGTGCCAAACAAATAGTGCCATAACAAATCGTGAAATTGATGGTTATTGATGGGTATGAATGGTTCTTCATGGTAATTAGATGTATATAATTAGTCGTTATTGTTGAGTTAGTGATGTGGTAAACCATGGTCACCATACCCTATATATAGCTCGAGCTATGCTTCGGGAAGATGTTTATGATGATCTCCATGGTTGGGGCATCGTTTGTGGGGTTACTATAGACATATGCATAGTGTACCTACTGTAACCTACATACACATCTCTAAACATATTATGTAAATCTACAGACTAAATCTATAATAGTATAACCTAATCTTATCTAATCCAATATAACAGAATATGGAGTAATATGATACGTTGTTGCTTGATTATCTATACATATTGGTTTAGACCTATACCGGTCCATTCATCATTTCTACAGTGTACAATTCTGCAAGGTGGTGCCCCAAAACTCTTGAAGTTAAAGCTCCACGAAATGAACATAATGAACCATGAAATTCCCAAGCACCTTTTGTGTTGCTTAATTTTCCCATGTCTCCTATGAACATATATAAACATCATCCACAGAGCTCCCTCATCTTGTTTGGTACCTGCTTAAACATGCTCAAACCCACAATAATCATCAACCGACCGGAATTTATCAATATTCTTCCCCAAAAAATTGTGACGTTCCCCGTTTTTGTGTCCTTCACTCCACTTGCCCTTTAGGGGCTGGAAAATCCCACCGAACTTGAGAGATAGATCCATGATTTTGCAACGTCCATGGCAAGTTCTGAAATTCCCATGGCTTCCTATGGCTCCTATAATTGTCCCATGTTTAGAGGGTACACATCCAATTTCATGTTGTTAAATCTACAATTTCCCTATAGTTAAATGGTAAATCCCCATTTTGGATGGTACCCGGTACCCTCTGGTAATTGTCACATAGCTTTTGAACATGGCCCAGTCGAAATAGTGGATTTACCCATCTAGAAAATGGTGGATCTTTGCATAGTGATGTGGCTGTTTACCAGAGGCTAAATCCTCCATTTTTTCCCACCGTTCTCAGGAACCCCAACGTGGGCGCGACCCGTCTTGGTGCTCCACAGGCCCGCCGCAAGGTGGCGACGGCCAAGCCGCAACGTGGGGTGAATCGCGCGCCACTGGCGAGTCTGGCGGTGACATGACATGGAAAGGGAGGGGCGGAGGGGGGGAAATTCTGATGTTACTGTTACTGGTTGGTGGTTTGGAACATTTTTTTATTTTTCCATATATTGGGAATAATCATCCCAACCCCCAGAGGGGTTGAAACCACCAACCAGTATTACCTTAGGGAAGATTATGGTTTTACTAGTTGGAAGTGGAGATTTTACTAGGGAAAGTGGAGAAGGCAAAATGGTGATTTTACAATGGAAGTTAGTGATTGTGCTAGGGAAAATAGTGATTCTACTATGGGAAATTGTGATTTTACTAGAAACCATGTTTAACTACAGACGAAAACCATGCTGTGTTTTTCTGACCAGTAGATATCAGTAGATACATGCTTTTCTTGTTTAAACGTTCCCTTCCAATTGAATTGGAACCTGGAAATATATGATATGGAGATGGGTCAAAATCTACAGTATATATTATATGGGGATGGATCAAAATCTGTGATTATTGTCATATTTGAGGAAATATATTTAACAAAAAAACATCCTTTTAGGGTTCAATCCGAGTGCCAGGGTTTTGTCTCATAGCCATATGTTCCCCCTCGAATGGGGTTGGCGGAATATCCGTGATATTCCATGGGAAGAAACAGCATGTTTAAATATAAATAAGGCTAAAAGGTTATGAATAGCAATATAGGGATCTGATAGACTCAATGGGATAAGTATATATATAGGTATGTAATCATAATGTAACATAAAACATCATACCGCACACACACACGCGCATATATATATACAGATATATACAGTATATACACACAAATATTCAATGAACAGTATGTTACCGGTTCACCAACATCGTCGCTTATTCTGTATCTCAGGACATCACCAACATCCAAGATGCCCGTGACATGCGCAAGAAACCGCTCCGGGAGCACCTTGGCCCGTTGCGACACGTGTCGCGGGTGTTGGTAAGTTGTGAAATCCATCATCACAAACATGAGCAGAACCAAGAATCTGGGATTTTCATGGGAATATCATGGGAAGTAATGGAATATACTCTCCGGTAATCAGCCCCATGGCATCCCATGGCAATGATTCCAATTTAGTTCGATGATTTTGCCATAAATAAATGTTCTGGAAATTCCCAGCGTGCCTTGCTACTTGATTACCGAAGGGCATGGCAGTTAAGCTATACCTTCTTAGATGTTGTACGGATTAGCTCAGTGGTTGGTGTTTGTGGGTTATAACCCCTTGCTTGTAATTGGGATGTAGCTGCGAAAACCTCGTTAATTCTGGCAACTTTGAATTAGTTTTGATGGGTCTGCGACTCATCCCATCAACTGGAGCCCATAGAGTTGGCAAACTCATTCAGAGATGCGAAGAAAACCACTTGTATTTTTCAACTGCCGGAACTTTTAGGGTAAAGATCATTTTCCGAACCCCTTGCCTGGGGATGCTTTTGGGGGTTGCATACTTTATTGTTTAATATATAATATATTAGTGATCGAATATATAATTTTTACATTTGTGTGTAATGGGATGCTTACCTGCCAATCATTTTCTAACTTGAGGATCTTTGGATATCATTCTAGTAGATGATGCGCTGCCTCAAATGTGGAAGTTGAGGCACACGTGCACACGAAAACAAACAACCAAGGATCAAACCCGTACACAAAATCACCAGGTTTTCTTCAAATTCCAGTAAGCACTTGCATGTTCCATAATAGACCCTCATGAAACCCAGGGAAAATCTTGTTTACCACACAATCTTCAATTTATTTCGTTAGATTTTTATTGGGGTCAACGGGTCAACTGAGCGTCAAATCATTTGTTACTTACCTATCATTAATAGGCATAAATCATCATAAATCCAATTTTCAATTTCAATCGACTAATTACCATTCCTCCTGTTTTCTCGCTTACGTCGCTGGGTCCGCGGAAGCAGGCCCCTGGCACCCCTGGCGCCACTGGCGCCGCTCGAGCGAAGCCTGGTGACGATTCGAAACCGCGAGGCTTCACCTACACCGATGGAGATTAGTAATCCCGAGCTCTTGGCAGAAGCGCATGTGGCCTGGCGGAATGCTTGAGGGGCACAGCGAGCAAATGCCCTTAGCTGTAACTGGCTGATAATGTAACCGAGAATGTTACCGATAATGTTACGGGAGTTATAATATCATTTATTTGTAACTGCTATGTATGACTGTTCGGGGCCATAACTGTAGATAGTTAAGGTAGTTTATAACTCCAATAACTCTGGTTTATGGTGGATATATCGTATAGTGGAGTTGTTTTTATCATGATGATGATGATGACGATGGTGATGATGATGATGATGATTATTCCCGATGAGAGAGAAAAGTAGTTTCCCTACAAATTTTGTGACGATCAACTCTTCCATTGCTTTGGGATAACTATAAGTTACACCTTCAGAATACAAGTAATATATGTATATATAATATTCTGAATAACTGCCATCAGTGAAAATGAAAGACTTATGAATACCAACAGCCAATACTGGAATATGTGGTGTTGAGTTGGGATCAACCATTGTAGTATGTGGTGTCACTATTAATGACGTTTTGTCATATTGTTATTAGTATTGCTGTCAACATTTGGAGTACTCCCAGTTTTCAGACGACCTACCATGAATAATATATATATATATGCACACAGATATTGATATAATACACTGTAATGACGCATGTGTTTACATACAATATCCAGCTGTCGTCATAGTTTGCACATCATCTGCTCTGTCCCTGCTGCGCCTTCAGGACAAGGTGCAGTCTGTGGCGGAGTACGCGCCGGAGATCGCAGACCAGCTCTTTCACGACGAAGCCATCTTTATGCCGCGCGCGGACTATATGGAGCCTTTGTCCTTCGTTTCGGCGGTTGAAACGACGGCTGTTGATGTTTTAGTCGGATTTGATTTTTCAACTTGTTCGGATAGTTCGGATTGCAATAATTCTGTATCCGTATCCCAGCAAATTGTTTGTCAAGTAACCATTTGCTTTACCACATGTTGCTTCACTATAATGTTCATTATCTATGTTTTTGCCAGATCAGCAGGCTTGATGGGATATTGATGGGTATATCTATGGATTGTATGGGATTGATCTATGTATAATTGGATGAAAGGTGAAGCAACTGCTGAATAGAGCAAAAACTGAGATATTCTGAGGTAAGACATGCTAAGACAAGCATTATTTCAGAGTTTCTATGAATCAACGGCCAACGGTTGACATAGCTTGACATCAATGGATCTCCCCTCAGGAATCGCAGCAAGACATCAATGGCAAGATGCGTTTCTCGGCCCGAAAGCACCATATTGCAACCCAAAAAGTTATAAGTTGGTTTATAAACCCCAATGCCATTAACTAATATTAACTATAGTTATATCTACCATAAACCATAGTTATTGGAGTCATAAACTGGGGCACCACCTTGCAGACTCCAGCCTCCTGATTTGCCATCTAACGTTGGTAGTACTATTGAAGACCTTGGGCTTGTTAGTCGTAAATCCAAGAAGTTTGTTGAGAATTGACGTCGCCGGAGGCGCCATTTTGGTGGATTGGCTGGTGGAAGTTCACATGAAATATCGACTGCGTCCAGAGACGCTGTTCCTTGGTTGGTTACCGGTGTGGAATCGGCTAGAACGGCTGCAACGGCTGCATCCTTTCTTCCCAGTTGCCATGGCACTTTCATTCAACAACGTTCCAGAAGCCCAGTTTTCAGTGACTTGATATTGGATCGAATGATTCTTGAAGAACTTCCGCGGGAATGTTCATAAGAGATGGCAATAGATGGCATGTTTTAATCCTCAAACCTTGAGAGCATCGGAGAGCAAGGGTCAATCAAACCAAGTACTTTCCGAGGAAGGATATTTGGTTGGTGGTTTCAAACATTTTTTATGACTTTCCATATGTTGGGAATAATGATCCTAACTGACGAACTCCTATTTTTAAGGGGGTAGCTCAACCATCAACCAGATATGGTTTGTCTAAGTCTATGTTTCTCTGAACAATTGGATGCCCTGAGCCCAGTGGCTCATGGTCCATCATGTTCCCTAACGTGATACAGATGGCAATTCCCGAGCTGGGTATGGGCTGTATGAGGACCCATGGGAATGCAGACTTCAATATGCCCTTGCGTTTCACCACGGAAATCCGTGATCCCAAACATATTACTGGTTGGTGGCTTGGAACATTTTTTTATTTTTCCATATGTTGGGAATAATGAATAATGATCCCAACTGACGTTCATATTAGCTGTTCTTGCTCAGGGTCCTCCCAGGGGTACAGCGGGCTTCAACTAACTCCCCGAGCTGTTCTGTTCCAGCGTTGCAATGGTGCTGGCACATGAAGGGATTCGCATGAAACTGATTTCCGTTGGTATGCAATGTTGCCGTGCAGAAGTCAACAACATGACAGCCATGGTTTTTTTCAAAGATGAGTGGTACAAGATGTTTCATGAAGGCATGGAGATCATCGTGACCGATTTCGAAATGTCTTGGAAGGATGGGGTCATGAATTTTCATGTCACTCAGGGAATCTCCAGGGTCTTCCTGTGTCCATCCAAAGAACGTGGGCCTTTCAACTCAGTTGAGCTTTTTGCTGGGCTTGGTGGTTGGTCCCATATGGCCACCACCATGGGAATGGTTCCAATGTTGATGGTGGATTCAGATGAGAATGTTGCGTATGCATGTGCAAAGAGGTTAGGCTTGGCATGCATGGATGCAAAATCATATGTTCAGAAGGTTTTGGATGGACACAACGCCTTCAGGTGTGTAATCCATGATGATGTCCAGAACCCCGACACTTGGGTTGCCATCAGCCTGGTTAATCCAGATACGATCTTAGGATCTCCTCCATGCCAACCATGGAGTTCAGCCGGAACGTCCTGTGGTCTCCAAAGTCTTGATGGTAAGGTCTTCCAGTCGGTCCTTCGTCAGGCTGCCATGGTCGGTGTCCTGGTTGTTGTGTTGGAAAATGTACCTGGTCTCCCAAGGCACCAGGATTTTCGTGAGCTTGTAGGTGATGCTGAGAAGCGTGGATTGAAACTGGCCTTGCATGGCACCTATGCATGTGCCAAAGTACTGCCTGTCCATAGGGATCGTTGGTTGGGTACGTTTGTCCATGAGTCCGTCCCATTTGATGCTGCCAAGCAGACCATGGCCAATGCAATCTCATTTGCGGATAGAGCATTCGAAGCAGTCGCCACCAGTCCGTCCATTCGAGATGCCGATGTATCTCATGTCAACATGAATGCATCCGAAAAGCGTCAGCTGACCATCCCTGGTGAGCTGGTTGGTATGTTGTCACAGATTGAATATGCTCCGCAATGGTTGAAGAACAGATTGAAGGGAATCCCTAACCCAACAAAAGACCATGTTTTCCAAGCCAGGGTTGTAGCTGACTGCCAGCAATTCATTGGATTCATGGCTATGTATGGAAAACAGCATACGATTCCTGATGACCTGTTGAAGAATAAGGGACTTCAGACTATGCTATTCAATGATGGTACCGGCATCCGGTATATTTCACCATGGGAAATGATTGCAAGCATGGGATACCCAAGTGACACTGTCTTATCGAGTGATATTGAGGTGTCATGGAGAATGGCTGGTAACGGCTTGTCTGTTGCTCATGCATGGTTGCAGTTGTACAAAGCCCATATGCTCCTGGGGGATGCCTCGCCATTTACGCCTCAGGGAACTCCGGTCCAACAAGTTGCTGCTTTCCAGCGAAATGCAATCAAGATGTCCGAGTGGGTTGCACAAATCCAGGGTCATTTCTGGGGGTTGTCGCCCAAGCCTGACATGCACGCATGCAAAAAATCCAAGGGGTCTGAAAGTGCTGATCATGTTGCGGGTCCAGGTGTCCCCCCTACGGTGCCCTTCACAATCCAGGACCCTGAGGATATCACCACTAGTGGATTTGAGATGACACCTGAGTTTGCCATGATGGGGGATCCCCGAAATGTTGCTGTCATCGGTCAACAATACGGAGGGGGAATGGTGACACTCCAGCATGTTCAAAATAATTGGATGATGTTTGTCAATGCTGAACCAGAGGATGTTGTGTCACGTGTAATTTGTAAGGCCTTACCACATGCCAAGCCGAGTCATTTTCAGGAGTTGACAGTTGACGGTTTGGTGATCGCATGGGGGCAAACAATCAAATGCCGACCTGTCAAGGTTCTGACATTCTGTCCTGTTTTCACACAGGTTACATGCAAAGAAGAATCCTTGAAAATTGCCATGACGTTACAAGCTGATGTCACATGGACTGCAAAGACAGCCATTGCCTATTCCGCAGTCAAAATCGGATGCAATCCTGATGCTTTGGTGTTGATTTCCAACAGTCTCCCACTCAAAGATGATGACTTTCTCCTGGAATACGAACGGACTGAGTTTCAGATGAGGTTCAAAGCATGTATGCCGGGATATGTTAGCTGGGCGCCTAGTGCAAAAGAAGTCCATGACGAAGGAATGGCGCCAGTACCATGTACAATGAAGAGGTGGTTCTCCAGACATCCCACCAGGAAAGTTGTCAGAACTGTTTGCATGGGGCACAATTCCAACGTCCTGCAGTTGGTCCAGCGATTGTTTCCTGATTTGCATGCAACCACGTCATGGACGCCTTTCCATGATGACAAAGAAATTGCCTGTAGTGCTGTGATCAATGACTTGCAAAACCTGCAAATTCAGTGGAATGGGTTTCGTCCTTTGCGGGCCACCTCCATCAGTTGCATGAGACACCATGGCCGGGCTGTTGATGCACCAGCTGTGCAATTGCAATATGCGGGAAAAGGCATTAAGATGCATGTTCGATCACCATTCAAGATCAGAACTGATGAGATTTGCCTTGCACCTGATATGACGCTTGCGGAAATTGCAGCCAGTTTCATGACGGTAGCACAGCTCCAAGTCAGTATGATATGCACAGCAGGAACTGTGGTGCTTGACCCTTCCATGCAAGTCCAAGACATGCCCATGGACGAAGTGATCACCTTCCGAGTATGTCCATTGCTTGGAGGTGCCAAAATTGATGCAAAGTCAAGAATAGGTGAAATGCTCAAAAGCAAAGGGGTGCCGGTCGACAAGGTCGAGGAAAGAATGAAAGGACTCTTTGCCAAGATTTCACCCGAAAAGTTCAAGATGAACATGAACGATGATGCCTTTTGGACGCAGGTCAAGACAGTAGCAAGTGAAAACAAGTACCGCCTCATCACACATGAGGAACTGAAGGCTTTCCAAAGTGCCAATAGAAAAAATAAGACAAAGGCCGAAAGCAGTGAGGCCAAACCGAAGGTCCGGGAAGAGCAATTCCAGGTTGATGCAAGTAAGATTGTCATCGATGCGACACACTTTTCAGCCAATGATGATGAGGTTGGACTCATTGAATCAACACGTTTTGGTCCCGATCAAACTGGCATTTGTGTCGTCAATGCAAGTGATGCAAGTAAGTGGAGTAATAACGCTGTTAAGAGTTGTGATCCACTTGCCCTCCTGGTTGTTGGAAAAGGATGCCATGAATACGGTGAGGTCTTCAGCATCCCGGCGCACACAGTGTCGGGAACACCGATCATTGTTCAGGGTTGTTTGATGCAATTTGGAGACATTCCAGTTCAGTACAATCTGAAAATCCCGTCAGTTGTGGTTGACCAAGTGGCCTCAACTGCTATTGAGTTTGCAATCTACAGGGACCACGTGACATGCTGGAGTGATGTTGGTGTTCCATTGCATTACATTGGTGTACACATCCCCGAACTCAGAGGATCAAATCTTTTGGCCACATGGTCGATCAAAGCATGGAGTAAGCAGCAGGTTGCACATGTGTCGCGAGCTGATCACTGGCATGGTTTTTTCAGAATTGCAGACAGCCTTCTGCATGCTGTTTTGAGTCGAAGTGGCGTCGCAGGGATCTTTATGAATCCTAAGACCTCCGATAGAAAGCATGACCCTCGTTTTATCACAATTGCACTGCCAAATGGCAAGCTTCCTGAAGTTCTTGCCAGAGCTGAGGGTTGCCCAAAAGCAGTCGGTGTGGTTAAGAGAGGTGATGCATATTGTATCCGATGCAGGAGAGAAGATGCTGACCAGTTACGTGCTGTGTTGATGCCTGAAACGGCATTTGTCCAAACTGCAAGTTTCTCTGAGGAGGAGGTTTTGTATGTGATGTCGAATGTCCCACAGATCAATCGGGACGAGCTTGGTCAGGCACTTGGCAGAGCAGGGTGGATTGCAAATCCGATTAAGCCCCAGGGTATGAAGAGATGGTTAGTAGCAGCTAAACATGATCCACCAACCAGTCACATGGGAATCAACGGTGCCATTGTTGTCGTCGAGAAGGCTAAGAAGAGTGCTCCTTCGGCCCAACCGGTCACCATGTTTGCACGTGAGTTTAAGGTTGATACAGTGAGGGATTCCCATAACAATGTACTTCAAGTCTCAACGACGTAAAGAATTGCTGAGTTCAAGGCACAGATGGATGACCAGATCGCTGCCGTAGTTGAAATGAAGCTTGCAAGTGCCAATGCCCGCATTGAAGAGTTGCAGACGGCATTGCTGGAGGTCAAAGATTCTGCTGAACGAAGTCATGCAAGCATCACCAGTGACATGGGACACATGAAACAGGAACAGTCGTTCACCAGGCAGAAGCTGCAGGAAGTTGAGGTGAGTGTTGCAACATCAGGCCAAGCAATCATCCAGCAGATGCAGAGCATGTTTGCCACAATGCAGACAAGCCTGGAAAAGACCATGCAGCAGAACATTAGCGGTGAAGCGGAAAAACGACCGCGCACAACCGAGACAGGAAGGAATGACCCGTTCTCTATCAAGGAGAGTTGACTAGGTCGTGCCGATGTAAGATCCAGAAATCCAGGCGTGATTGTCATCATGCTCATCATGTTGCAGGCCATCTTCATACCAGCGGTGGCACATCATGGAACACACAGGGAATGCGACTACAGGCTAGGTTCGGATGTCAACATCCTTCACAGCATGCCAAATGGTCATTCCGAATACAGTCATGCAAATGAGCATAGAGCTAAATTCAGTGCATGCCGGTACATCGGGGACCGGAAAACCTATGCAAAAAAAAGATGTTTACGCACAGAGAAGGGATGCAATCTCGTCAACTCTGTGGGAAAAAAAATGTTGAAATGCACCACAGTGGATTCGACCTGTTGCAATTCTTTCCTAGTAATTACAGTGTAATTCAAGATGCTGCTGCACAGCCCGAATGCAACCCGAATCATGAAGGGTCCTACTTTGGAAAAAATAAAAAGTTTGGTTTTGTAAACGCTTGTAGGCCCTTGCAAGTGAAATTAAATGCACATAATTCTTCCTGCAAAAGGATGCACGGTGACATTAGGCAAGCAGCCGAACAACTTGAGAATGATCGGCAACACGGGGTGTCTTACCTTCCTTTGGTTACAAACCACATGGACCCGTACGATCACCATTCCTCAGGTCATCTCTCCTTTGTGGATGTTGGATTCACTGGTGTGTGTTGGCAATTGTGCATGTGGTACATTTGTATTTGTTGCGATTACCAACTGACCTTTGTTCCCGGTAAAGGTTCTCCCAGAAGAATGGCGAAACTTGTTAGCGAGGTGGGGTTCCAAAACAGTTCCAATCGGAGTGGCCACATGATTTCCAATTGTATTGGCATTATCCTCCAGGTGGTTATTCGGCTACTTGAATTCATGCTGGCTCCACAGCCCCCGGAATACCAGCAACTCCGGGATAACATAATGCTGGTTAGAGAGTGGAAAAAACATAGGTGGGGTAATTGCCACACTGTCTACTCCAAGGTTCCCGATGATTGCATTGGTAGTTTACCTCCATACCGACAAGAGGGTGCCCATGTGACACAGCTATTTTCTTTTGACGGTGTCATTCCTAAACCATGCAACTGGTGGCATGCCCCACTAGATACACTTGCAACGGGTATGGCCGTGATGAAGATACAGACACCATGTCAAGCAGGGGTACACAGTTTTTCATGCTGGCTTACGGGCCCCCGGAATACCAGCCACTCCGGGAAACAATAATGCTGGTTGAATCCCTGTTGAAGTGTGCTTTCATGCTGGCCTTTGAGCCCCCGGAATACCAGCAACTCCGGGATAACAGAATGCTGGTCAAAGAATGGGGTAAACATAGGGGGGGCAATGGCCTTCTTACTTTGTACTTTGCTGTCGATGATTGTATGTGCCTTGCCCCTCCATGCCGACAGGAGGATGTCCATGTGAGACAGCCCTCAGTTGCTGACGACGCGGTAGAAACGATGCAATTTGTGGCACGCCCCACAGGCAGTACCTGCATGATGTGGCATTGCCTCACTTATTATGTTGACATCTTGCGTAACATGTATTCACAATCCCTCATGCTGGCTTACGGGCCCCCGGAATGCCAGCCACTCCGGGATACAATAATGCTGGCTGATTCCCTATGTATGTGTTTTTTCATGCTGGCTTCCAAGCCCCCGGAATACCAGCAACTCCGGGATAACATAATGCTGGGTAGAGCCATGTGTAGGCACTGCAGCTATGGTCACTTCACCAGACATGTCTTGCTCCAACTTTTGCATGTTTGGAATGGTTCATGGGTTCCTGAAGCGATACATATTTGTGCCAACTTCAAAATGAATCCCTTTGAAATGCTGGTTAAAAAGACCCCGAAATACCAGCGACTCCGGGATAAAATAACGCTGGATGATGGACAAACCGCGAATATTTCCACGCTGGCTTTTGAGCCCCCGGAATGCCAGCAACTCCGGGACACAATAATGCTGGTTGATGAAAGACGTATTGCCTGTCTTCAACTGAAGAAAATTAATTGTGACAAGATGCAATTTCATGGGTGTATATGGAAACATGAACACCTCAGCCCTGTTGCCTGTTCAGGCGGAAGGGTACAAAAGCTGGACATGAAGACCCTGGAATACCAGTTATCCCAGGAAAGTATAATGTTTGTTGATGTGCAAACCAATGTCATACCGGTGCACGCAACCCTGGAATGCCAGCTATTCCAGGATCCTACGTTGTTCGCTGAAGGTATCGGCACTGACCATGTTCATCGAAGAAGTGAATCCTTTGGAGTTGTGCACATTCAATGCTGCACGAAGCATTACTGCCATTGCATGTCTCCCTGCGTGTTTAGGTGTGTCCTGAATGAAAGGGAAAATCGTCCTAACTCTTCCCTTGTTGCAACCATTGGAAGGGAATTTGTATTACATGATTGCTTAATTAACCAGTTTTTTCAGCAGACGATGCATGTGAAGGTGATGAGATTTGGAGAGGCAGAAAACCCTGGCCCTTTTGTCGTTTCAACTTTCAATCCTGCGCAGCTGCTAGGAAGAGAGGAGGAAGTGGCCTCATTTGTTGACGGTGTGTGGACCGCAAGTGAAACCTCTCACACTGCAGAGGCCCAAACGGTCATACAGAACAGATTCAAGGCAATGGGAGTTAACACCATTTTCAGTCGGGCTGCTGAAAAACACTCTGACAATAATAATGGTGTGTACCGAGGCAAGGCCGTGGGCACCGCTGTTTTGAGCCGATTTCCACTGCAACCTTACCCAGAAAGTCTTGACCATGAAGCTGATGCCACCTGCAGGTTTTGCGATGCAATCATCAGAGCCAAGCCCAACCTGCCAATCTATGTTTGCTCCGTTTATGGGCCTCCTGAGAACAACACAATCTTGGCTGACGCTGAAAAAGTGTTTGTTGTCGCAACAAGACCGGGGGTTGAACGTGCTACTGCATTCAAAGGACCTGCCATAATCACTGGCGACTTTAACAGGGAAATGCATGAGGTGCCATTCTGGCCTTTACTCCAGCGTAAGGGGTGGGTTGACTGTGCCGTTGCGAGTCATGATAGGTTCCAGACTACTCTTGATGCAACATGTAAGGATCGCACCAGACGGTCTTTCGTGCTTGCCAACCCTGTAATGGCACAAATGCTACAAAATTGCCAGACACTGCATGAGCATATGTTTGACTCTCACCCTGTGCTGCAAGTCACATTTGACATTGATGCTAATGTTGCCTACAAAAGTGTGTGGTCACTACCACGCAGCCTGGATGATCAAAAGATCCAGCCTGAAACCGCAGAGTATGAAGCAGAGGTTTGTTCCCAAAGACGCTTTGAGAAGTTCCATAAGGCCCTCCAGGAGAGGGACCCGGATGAGGCTATGAAGCAGTTTGCTCTCAGTTTTGAGGAAACCATGTCCAAGTCTGTTGTTGATGTGCATGGAAACCCCGCAAAAGCTCCTGCGGGATGTTGGAAAAGATGCCGTAATAGACTTAGGAAGATGGCTCCGATTGCAGCACCCATTCTCAAGAGTGGAGGTGATGGGGATTTCAATATCCCAATTTGCCAACCGTCAATTAGTGTGAGGCGACATGTGAAACAGCTTCGACGTATCCAGAGTTTGTCTCGACAGGTCGAGGCATGGAACCGCAGTGGTAGTGAGGATGCAGGAGCCAAATGCTCACACTTGTGGACGCGCATTTGTGAAGCAAATGGTTTTGAGCATGGTTTTCAACACTGGATACTGACACAGTATGGCATGTTTGTCCCTACAGCTTTGCCTTGCATTGAATACATCCGTGCTTTGTATGATATGTTCCAGGAACATGTTGTTACAGAGGTCACCAGTGAAAGGAATGCACGTTGCAGCTTTAGGAGGCAACAGTTGCTCGAGGATGTTGGGCGCGGTGGAAGACTCATTTACAAGTCTGTACGTGATGTTAGCCCTCCGCCTTTGGCCTTCATAGGAGTCACCAGAGAGCAGCAAATCCCACCCCAGCGATGGAGCAAGGGTGGTAAATGTCGGTTGCTTTACAAGGGACCATGCGTTTTAGAAGTTGGATTGCCTGTGAAGTTTCAAAACCCGACGGCAGTACTTGAAAGTGTTGATGCTAAGTTCCTGTACCTCGACAGACATGTCGTCTGCAAAAGCCCTGGCGAGTTGGTCATCCAACAAGAGCACAATACAGCTGACCCGTTGGAAATGCAACAACATGTGGCGGAAGCATGGGGTGCGTTATGGCAACGCCCTGACACCTCAGAAGAATGCAAAGGACAATTTGGAGAGCTTATAACTTCTCTGGAGGACTGCCCAACCTGTCCTTACAAGCCATTTGACTGCGCGGAATGGGGAAGGATGATGAAGGGAGTCAAGATGAATAGTTCACGTGGAGCTTGCGGATTTTCTATGTCCGATGTCAAAAGAATGCCCACAGCCTTATTGCTTTGGCTTTTTAAGCTGTACGAAGCTGTTGAGGCGGGGATGGAATGGCCAAGTAGGTTGACGTTAGCCCGCGTTGCAATGCTTGCAAAGCCTGGTGAATCTGTCAATAAGCCGTTGGGAGTCAGACCCATCACTATACTGAGTGCGCTTTATAGACTCTGGAGCAGGTTTAGAAGTCTTCAAGTGCTGTCATTCTTGGGACAGTCGGTGCCACCGCAGATTGGAGGTATTGCTTGCAAGTTGAGCGCTGACAACCTTAGTGCCCTGGTTAGTGATATGGTCGACGATGCCCATTCAAGTGGGCAGCATCTATGTGGGCTTGTCATTGACCTGCAGAAGTGCTTCAATTTAGTGCCTAGGTGGATACTCAGACAACTCATGAGCAAGCTTGGAATCCCGGACAAATACACGCATGCTCATGTCCTGATGTTGCAGAATCTCCATAGGTACATTGATATCGGTGGTCAAATTGGCGAACCTGTTCCTAGCACTTGTGGTATCCCCGAAGGTTGTGCCGCTAGCGTCTCATGCATGGTTGCCCTCACGGTGCTAGCTGCCCATGTCATGCAAAAAATTTCTCCTGAGGTCATTGTATCCATGTTTGCCGACAACTGGGCTGTTGTGGTGGAGACCGTCCAAATGTTGGTAAGGGTTATAACCTCCTTGGAGCAGTTTGTGGAATGCCTGGGGATGAAACTTTCACCTGGTAAAAGTTGGACTTGGGGTACCTCTGCTGAACTTCGTAGGAACTTGCGGGACGTCACTATGTGTGGTGTCAGTGTGCCAGTCCAAAATTCTGCAAAGGACTTGGGGTGTGATGTCGCCTACACCAAGAAACTTGCAAAGAAAACGTCGAATGCCCGCCTTGCCAAATCAATACGAATCCTTAAAAGGGTCAAGCGTACTAAGGTACCCATGCACTTTTTGGGACGTATGTGCACTGCGTTGGGTGTTGGTATTGTCAGTTACGGGTCTGAAATTGTGAAGTTTACCAATAAACAATTCCACAGCTTGCGATGCGCTATGGCAGCAACAATGGGGCTGTACAAATCGGGAGCCAACACGCTTTTGGCTTCCAGTGCTACTGGGCTCACAGTTGATCCCCAAATTAGACTGCTGAGAAGGAGAATCAAATTTTTCCGTAAATTCTTCAGAATTTTTCCCAACAGAAAAGAGGGTTTCTTGCATAGAATCACAAAAAATGTTGGAAAAAGGGATTCAGGAATTTCATCGCAGTTTCATTTGGCTTTCCGTGATGTGGGATGGAAATGCGTCGAAGGTGGTGGACTCATACATGACTCTGGCATTAGATGCAATTGGCTTGGGGATTCCATCTCCTATGTCTGCAAATGTTTGGATAAAGCTTGGGAAGCCACTGTCCCTTCGAGAGTGCAGCGCAAGGGTTTCGATATCAAGCAGTTTTCAGCTAAAGCTTTCAATAGCATTGTCTGTATGCGTGGTCCGCAGCAACAGGGACTCTTGACTGCTATTGTGAGTGGAAAGAATGTCACGATGGATGCACTTGCATACTATGCAAAGGATGACCCAACTTGTCCCTTTTGTTCATGCGTGGATGGAAAGGATCATAGAATATATCACTGCCATGGACTGAGTGATTTGCGTCGGAAATACAAGGGTACCGTAAGATGGCTTAAAAAACAACCACAAGCTGTTTTGCACTTTGGTATGGTGCCTGACGATAACAATGCAGTCCTGCTGAGACAAGAGGCGATGGGCGGAAGTTTTCTCAAAGTGGCTCCCCAGTGTGGGGAACGAGTCAAAGTGTACACCGACGGTTCATGTTTCTGTAACACTTCCTGGGAACATGCTATTGCTGGTTCAGCTGTTATTAAGGTTACTGGTGAATACGAGTGGGAGTTGGTCGAAAGACAGCTCCTTCCCACGACTGACCATAGTCCTTATAGAGCTGAGTGCTTTGCAGTTCTTCTTGCACTACAGCATTTCTGGCGTGTTGAGATGTTTACAGACTGCGCTGCTGTGGTCGATGAGGTGCAAAGAATTTTACATGAATGCAGCATGGGCTTGACTCCAAAGCCTAAATCACATGATGACATTTGGGAGCCAATCGTGTGGCACCTGCAACAACGTGCATGCCATGATGTTTGCATTACTAAGGTGAAAGCGCATGTTCAATGGCGTAATTTACCTCAGGGTGCGGAAAAAACACATGCCTTCTTTAATGCAGCTGTTGACGGTGAAGCTCGTAAGTCTGTCGCTGCCGATCACTTTGAGCTGTGGCAAAAATTCCAAAAGATGCTTGATGAGAAAAAGGTATATGCACAATGGGTCAAGAAATACCATGACTTAATATGTGAAATACATGAGCGGTCTTTCAAAGCCCTGCCACGTTCACGACCTGTCCAGGTTCAACCGGATCTAAGTGAGCTGTGGAATTTGCATGGCATGTCATGGAATGTACCGGGCCCATGTCAAGCTGACCTTGATTCATGTCCATATGGACCTAGGTTTGCCATGCGTTTCAAACAATGGTGGGACCAGTTGAAATGGTATGAGGGGCCTCCTACGAGTGCTCTCGAACTTTACTTCGACTTTTGCTACGAGTCCCATTCTATGGCGCCCGTCAGACTGAAGGAGGGGTGGAAATTGAGAGAGGAAAGCGTTGAAGCTGACGTAGCTTCACAAAGACTTGGGTTGCAAAACCATGCTTGGATACAGATGCTGAAATGGTGGGTGGGACATTCAGATGTTACTACTCTTGAAATCTGCAGATGTAACTCCCTTTTTGCTTACGGTCCTACGATCACTGCTTGGGGAGTCAACCATAGACCTAAATTAATCAGAGGTGGCCAAGTTTCTCAGGCAATTTGGAACTACCTACATCAAGGAGGTCGTACTCTCCGAAATTTTAAACGTTGTTGGAACCCTACAACAGGGTAATTTTGTGCCAGTGGTGAGAGGTGCAAGGAAACCCGGGCCCTCTTCACTGCAGCCTGCGTCTGCACTCATCGACAAAGTGACAAAACTGACGTTCATATTTTTCAGAGGGGTTGAAACCACCAACCAGCCATCATATCCCCATTGTATTCCCATTGTAGTGCCATTCTCTTCAGCACCAGGTTCCTCGCCGTGAACTTAATCGACCGTTACATGTCCTCGCTCCCCGTGTTGCGCCGACGCTTGCAGCTGCTTGGGGTTCCTTGGACTGCGGAGGACGCAGATGCCAAGCTACTGGTGTACAATTCACCATCAAACTAGATAACATTTGGGTTTGTTTAGTTAATAATTATGGAAGATAAATATATATATATATATATATAAATCTAATCTAGTCTAATCTACTATAGTCTAACCTATAATCTATCTGTCTACCGTCGACCCAACAGTTAGCCTACCTATAAGCCAACTTAGCCAACAAACTGGGGAAGCAAACCAGCTTCATGGATTTCGTTGGTTTTCAATCTTCCACTGCGCCAAAGTCAACATGGGACAGCAAGAAAAATGCTTGGTTCGAAGGCCCTGGTAACCGGGATCTATGGATCGATAAATATATTTTCTTCCGATGACTTTAGAAGGGAAATACGCCAAGCCCAGCTAGTAATTATAGCGTTTTCTGACATTATCCAATCCCAGTTCTGTGAAGGGAACATTGATTTATCTGACAGCAAATCCATACCCTTATATAATTGTAAAGAAAACATGTTTTTCTGCACATTTCCTTTGCACCAGCTTTAATCAAGCTTTCTCCAACCCATATATAGGATGATAGCCATTGTTCATTTTATTTTTTTGTTTGGGGGATTCGACCTCTTTAGTTATCCACATTATGTCTTAAACAAAAACTGTGGAGGGATATGAAAATGGGATAGTTATGGTATAGGTTTGAACAAATGTTGCAATGTGGGGCCGCCTGGTTGTAAGTTGGTTTAGTCTCACAACTACCATAAACCCTAAGTTGTCCTATAGTAGGAACCCAAGAAAAGATAGAAAGGTTGGACACCTCTATATAATTCTATATATATATAAATGCATAGATTATGGCAATTTAAGAAACACAAGTTGGCTCACATCCTGCAAACACGTTTAAGCATCTTTTAGTTGACCCTTACAGGTATAGACTTTAGCTCTTTAGGGCATCAGTTTCTACCTTGTATATCCCTGTTTATTGGTTATATACCCGTCATCTATCCTCCGGTAATCAAACATGACTAGCTGGCCAGTCCTCTATCAATGGAGGTTTATAGCTGGACAAATCATCTAGAAATTAAATGAGGGATTTTCCAGCCAGCCATGGTTGATTACCAGAGGGTAAACCGATATAGCCTGCTGAGTTTATAAACCAAAGTTACAGCACCTTAAGCATTTGAAAAGGATATGTTTATATATGTTTATAAACCTCTATGTTGGTATATTTGTTTATAACTACCACTAACTAGACTAACTACTACCTTTTATAGATAGAAATATATATATATATATATTATATACGGTAACCCCATATAAACCCACCCATCTTGGTAGTGATAAACTCACTCGACTCACCAGACTGTGAACAGAGGTGGTGGCCATGTTCGTGGCCGCCAAATTTGAGGAGATCGATCCGCCCAAAGCCACCGCAGCTTGGAGATGACCCACAGATTTCACCGAAAAAGGTTCCGGTTTCTGGATTTCAGAGATTTTTAAGCCTTACACTAGTGATGAACATTTGGTTGTTTTCTGGATTTCACCGGATTTTGCCAACGAAAATTTGCTTTGAGCTGGATTATGCTGGATTTATAGGCAAAAAATGTCTTTTGAGGAGAACATGGGTGAAATTGGTAAGAAATGTGGATTTGGCCAGCAAAAACTTGGGATTTTAACAGCAAACGCTTGATGAGAATATGTCCGGCAAATGTATGGAGACATATGGAGACCAAAACATCCTTGGGATTCTCAATCACCCACGAGTTTCTAGTGACAAAAAGAGAGAACTTGGACGCCAACCTGTGGTTCGGAGGGTCGATCAACTGCAGTGTTTGGCCATGCGAAAAAAGACAAGATGAACCCCCCAAAAAAGATGCTGAATTTGGTAAAATCCAATCACAAAATAGTGTTAAATTGAACATGTCTCGCCTTTCTGGTGTTTTTGTTTTCCTTCCCAGGGCAAGTATGCCGCCCAGCTCAGGACTTTGTGTACATCACCGACAACACCTACTCAAAGGATGAGCTCTTCCAGATGGAGTGCAACATGTTGCACCTGGGCTTCAACCCAAGGAACTAGTGCATTTCTTATCAGATGGGATAGGATCAACATGGATAAGCCATGATAAGCCCAGGAAAAATGCATGGTTCATGTCAGTACTGCTCACTTTGCAACCTCATGTCCATACCAGCATCCGATGGCGCATCCCAGGTAGTTGTCCATGGTCCCCCTCCTCGCACCATCACCCTTAGAACCCTTCGAACTGGTCATAGCACTCACAACTTTGAAATTTCAGGTTGTAGAACCCACGCATACCATTCAAATACTACAACTTCAGCCTGATCATCCAAAAATATATCCAAAGGAAACGCGGAAGACACATATATTTTCTTAAAAAACCCTCTGATTTCCAGATTTTCCCTTCAAAAAACTCCATTCCTGCTCCGTGCAGGAGCACCCTGGAGTTCCAGGTGGTGGTTCCCACAGCCGCACACTTCGTGAACCAATTCGTGAAGGCCAATGGCTGCGAGAACCCGCGCCATGCGGAGGCCGGGTCCCGGACGCCGGGATGGACTTTGGCATGACCCGGTCGGGTTTCTTCATCAACGGCAGGGATGGGAATAGAAAAATATGATTAATCTGGGTAAATTATAACGACCTCACTGCGACCTCACTGGAAATCATGGTTAGTAAGGGGACTCATCCCCAAATGGCCTTAATTCAGGTTAGTGAAATATTATAATTTGCCCGGATTAATGTCAACCCTGGATTAATAAACACCAAACGGCTGTTTAATTGGGAGGGTACCATTTAAGTATTAGATGAAATGACTATTGGAGGAGTACCACCCTAATTAATACAACATGGTTTATTAATCCGGGGTTGACATTAAGACACCACGAATCTTTGTTTTATTGGACTGGTCTAAGGGAAAGTCTACAGGAAACCTCTGAATATACATGTGCTAGTCAAAACATATAAAACTGGTTGGTGGTTTGGAACATTTTTTTTATGACTTTCCATCTATTGGGAATTTCATCATCCCAACTGGCTTTCATATTTTTCAGAGGGGTTGAAACCAGCAACCAGCAAGGTGTGGCACCAGTCTCTTTTTGCTAACTTGGTTTTATATGTTTTATGATAGTAATATATTACAGAAATGTACAGATATCTACTGTTAATGGCGGTTATAAATGGTTATAAACCAACTTTAACTGAGAGGGCACCAGCGTGTTATCCAGAATTAAGGCGTAGGATGTTTCAAATACCTTCAATAGCTGCGGCGTTTACACCCAAGAAAAAACCAAGCCCAAATACAGTCTCGGAATGTGTTTGGAGCTGTACACGGGGACTATAAAAGGTTTCCAGATCCTTGTGATGTTGGAAAAAACATACTGCGTTTTGCGTTTTGTTGCTTGTTTCTGATCATAGGAGTCTGCCGGCACAACATGCTGGAGACCAGACGCGTGGAACAATCACGTAGGCCAGTTATTGTTTGTTTGATGTTGCATTTGATCCTAAATATTCCTGTGCATTCCTGTGTGTAAGTTTTTTTGCATGCGTCTTCGATGCTATATTTTCTGATTTGTGCACCCACATCGGTCGTTGATTAAGCCCACAGATACACTTTTGTCTATAAACATAGAGTAGAGATAGCCCAAAGACCAACAGTTTACCATAATGTTCCATTCGACTGGCTCAATTTTGCCATAAATCAATGTAAATTTCTATAGATCCTCATTTCACTGACACAGCCGGGTTTTCTCCAGGTGATCAAATACATCATGGAGTTGGCTCTGTTGGATCTCCGCATGATCAGATCTTGGATGGAAATGTGCTACACAGTGGGCAGGGAGAGCTGTGCTCGGGATAAGCTGAGCCATAGGTATCCACCCCGAAAATGCGGAGCCAGTTGCAGCTTAGAGGGAACATTTCGCTTGCTTTGGGCTTGAACATGGAGATTGGCCCTGAGTATCAGAGATATGAAGCCATGTTTGTAAAGCTTGATGATTTGGTGGAGTTATTGGTTGCTTGTTTTTGTTGATGGCGAAATATGATGCTCGGCAAAGGAGTATGTTGCACAGATTAGTCAGAAAAGCCAGGTAGAAAGATTAGAAAGCGGGATTTGAGCATTCAAAGGGGTCAATATTGAGAATCCGGGTTGATTAGGTTTTTGTAAATAATAATATATATATATATATAATTATATAATACATATGTCTCCTATATAACCTAAGTGAGATTTCATGGGGATTTCATGGGGATTTAACCAATCAAGATTGCAAGTCGTCACCGTTTGACCGGTAACTGTGCTGCATTGAGGACACAAGGCCTCTCACTTGGTTGCCGCAGCAGTCCTTCTGAGCAATGAGTTGCCCGGCTCAGGAGGGCTCAATAAAAGGAGGGAACTCATGGGAGTCATGGGAAAAAGCGAAAATCAGCGGAAAATCTAGGGAAGTCCTCGAACTACATGGTGGTCATGGGAAAAATCGGGAACTTATGGACCAACCGTCCAACTATCTTTAGCTGGGAAAATCCCATGGATTTTCCATGGATTTTCCATGGACACCCGGACGTTGATTGGTTGTTGATAAGGAGTTTTTCCAACAGTTTTATTGGGATTCTGAATTAACCAATGAAACCGGGAAACCTATCACCCAACTGTTCTACCATGAGATGGGATAGGAAACAGGACTTTATACACTTCAATTTGGGATTTTCTAAAACATTATTTGACCTTAAGGAAACTGGGGATTTCACTAGTGAAAATGGAGAGATCATGGTGAGTTTCAATCAATTGGCATCCCAAATTCCTACTGATGGCCACATATGGCCTTGAACCTGGGAGGTTCACGTTTTATCCGAGGGGAAACCAAGGTGACATGACATGTTTCGACCTCATCATCGAGTCGACATTTTTCTTATTGTAAATGGGATCCATGGTGCTGGTATATGTGCTAACATGACTGGGGTATATTGATGGGATCCATGGAGCACCATATATAGCCACTATTCCAGCACCATGTGGGATTACGAATCCAATCTATTTTTTGTCTAATATGTCGGGATGCCCTACTTACGAACTTGTATAGCAATTCCCCCAAAGGGATGGACAAGTAATTTCCAATCCCGAAATCGTGGTGAATAGAAGCTTCTCCAGCTTTTTGGTACCTACTAATACCTACTATGTATAAAATCGGGATTTCACTTAACTAACCAGTTTCAGTTGTTTACTACTCAAGGCAACATCCTTAATCCATTGTTGATCCCGTCGCCCAATCACACACAAAGATCCGATGGGCCACAAGAATTCCCAAAATGTGTAAATCCCTTTGATGTTACCCCCTGGTAAACTATAAGAGTTTGCTATTGAAATGGCCATAGGAAAAGTAGTTTTACCCATTAAAAGTAGTGATTTTCCAGTTCGCAAACCGTTTTTCGTTACGGGTCTTGGTGCAAAATCCAGAGTTGATCCATGTGAATCCCATCCTTTTTGCTATAGTTTTTTGTCGGGTACGTTTTCCCCCAGAAAAAAAGACAGTTATTGGACAGCTATTTTCAAATATATATATATATATATAATATATATATATATATAATGTTATACTAATATACTATGACATGATGATAGGGTGATAAGCCGAAAGTCGCCAATTTGTGGAGTCGCTTGTTGCGCACGGGCAAGAGTCTTGGCAGAGGTGGCAGACATGAAGTGTGGCAGCTTGAAAGTCGCAGGATACAATCCATAGGCGGGTCAAAGGGTGGACAGCCCGCAAGACACGGAGGTGAGCGCAGAAAATGCGCGGAACGCAGTTTTCAAGACCAGCCAGGCCTGGGAACAGACCAGCGAGACCAGGTTGCTGTGACCGGGTGGCATTCCGATGTTTTGACACTTGTTTTTTAAGCAATTTTTGCTAGGCGACCCGACACATCTCACACATGGTAAGGTAATGATACAAGTTCATTATATAGTCCTAATAGGTGATATTCCCATTAGGACTTATTCATATTGTTTATGAAAATCCCCATGATACACATTAATCAAAGGAAGTTGGGAAGCAATTTCCGAGTTACGAATGACTTTTTACTTGGTGCAATTGACTATGATGAAGGGTGGTAGATCCTGTAACAATACATAATGTACCAATACATCACAAACCAATAAGAAGCAATGAAATTGACCTTGAGGAAGGGTGGTAGATCATATAACAATACATAATATAACAATACATAATGTACCAATACATAACAAAAGAATAAGAAGCTATGAAATTGACCTTGAGGAAGTGATGATGAAGGGGAGTGGTGACGAAGGGAAGTGGTGAGGAAGGGAAGTGGTGAAGAAGGGAAGTGGTGACGAAGGGAAGCGGTGAAGAAGGGAAGTGATGATGAAGGGGAGTGGTGACGAAGGGAAGTGGTGACGAAGGGAAGTGGTGACGATGGGAAGTGGTGACGAAGGGAAGTGGTGACGAAGGGAAGTGGTGACGAAGGGAAGTGGTGACGAAAGGGAGGTAGTGAGGAAGGGAAGTGACGAAGGGAGGTGGTGACGATGGGAAGTGGTGACGATGGGAAGTGGTGAGGAAGGGAAGTGGTGAGTTGGGGAGGAAGCCGGAGCACGAAACCTTGTGTTTTTCCGTGTAAAGTGGCTGCAGCCGGCGATGAAAGGTACCTCGTGTGTGCGACGGTTGCGGCTGGGGTCGGTTTATCGTTTTTTTTTTGCCGCAGTGTCACGGTGGCTTGAAGCTGCTTTGGGTGTGCTTGTGTGTGCGTAGTTATAGTGTGTTTTGGAATCTCCGGTTGCAGATCGCATTGGAATGGCTGCATGATCTTGCATGGGCTATGTTTTGGGGAGGAAGCCGGAGCACGAAACCTTGTGTTTTTCCGTGTAAAGTGGCTGCAGGCGACGATGAAAGGTACCTCGTGTGTGCGACGGTTGCGGCTGCGGTCGGTTTATCGTTTTTTTTTTGCCGCAGTGTCACGGTGGCTTCAAGCTGCTTTGGGTGTGCTTGTGTGTGCGTAGTTATAGGGTGTTTTGGAACCTGTGCTTGCAGATCGCATTGGAATGGCTGCATGATCTTGCATGGGCTCTGTTTTGGGGAGGAAGCCGGAGCACGAAACCTTGTGTTTTTCCGTGTAAAGTGGCTGCAGGCGACGATGAAAGGTACCTCGTGTGTGCGACGGTTGCGGCTGCGGTCGGTTATCGTTTTTTTTTGCCGCAGTGTCACGGTGGCTTCAAGCTGCTTTGGGTGTGGTTGTGTGTGCGTAGTTATAGGGTGTTTTGGAATCTGTGGTTGCAGATCCCATTGGAATGGCTGCATGATGTTGCATGGGCTATGTTTTGGGGAGGAAGCCGGAGCACGAAACCTTGTGTTTTTCCGTGTAAAGTGGCTGCAGGCGACGATGAAAGGTACCTCGTGTGTGCGACGGTTGCGGCTGCGGTCGGTTTATCGTTTTTTTTTTGGCGCAGTGTCACGGTGGCTTCAAGCTGCTTTGGGTGTGGTTGTGTGTGCGTAGTTATAGGGTGTTTTGGAATCTGTATTGGAGTGGCTGCATCCAGGCTGCGATAGTCATTTGTCAGGAGATTTTCTCAATTTTGGCGCTAATAATTTTCCTTTTAAAATTCCTTTTGAAAAGTGCTTCAAAATCGTATTTTTTTCGCTTTGGCGTCGAGATCCGGTTTTGGAGCTGCAATTTCCGACGCCATTGCACGTAGTTCTATTGTGTTTTGCAACTCAGTCTCTGCAGATCGCATTGTAGTGGCTGCGTCAAGGTTGCTTGGTGCAGCGGCTGCATGCGTAATACTATTCTCTTTTGCAGCTGAAGATCGTAAATCGTATTGGAATGGCTGCATCAAGGCTGCGAAAGTGATTTGTCAGCAGATTTTCTCAATTTTGGCGCTAATAATAATTTTCCTTTTAAAATTCCTTTTGAAAAGTGCTTCAAAATCGTATTTTTTTCGCTTTGGCGTCGAGATCCGGTTTTGGAGCTGCAATTTCCGACGCCATTGCACGTAGTTCTATTGTGTTTTGCAACTCAGTCTCTGCAGATCGCATTGTAGTGGCTGCGTCAAGGTTGCTTGGTGCAGCGGCTGCATGCGTAATACTATTGTCTTTTGCAGCTGAAGATCGTAAATCGTATTGGAACGGCTGCATCAAGGCTGCGAAAGTGATTTGTCAGCAGATTTTCTCAATTTTGGCGCTAATAATTTTCCTTTTAAAATTCCTTTTAAAAAGTGCTTCAAAATCGTCTTTTTGTCGCTTTGGCGTCGAGATCCAGTTCCTTAGTAGTAGTAGCAGGAATGATTCATGAAAGCTTAGATGACATATGAGAAGAGATGAGATGAGAAGAGATGAGCTGGGATAAGGTGAGAAGAGCTCAGATGAGATGAAGTGTGGAGTGTGAAGGGTGCAGTGTGAAGTGTGGGGCGTGAAGAGTGCAGTGTGAAGTGTGGAGTGTTAAGTGTGAAGTGTGGACTGTTAAGTGTGGACTGTTAAGTGTGGACTGTGAAGTGTGAAGTGTGGACTGTGAAGTGTGAAGTGTGGAGTGCGAAGTGTGAAGTGTGGACTGTGAAGTGTGAAGTGTGGAGTGCGAAGTGTGAAGTGTGGACTGTGAAGTGTGAAGTGTGGAGTGCGAAGTGTGAAGTGTGGAGTGTGCAGTGGGAAGCGTGCAGTGTGAAGTGTGGAGTGTGAAGTGTGGAGTGTGAAGTGTGAAGTGTGGAGTGTGCAGTGCGCAGAGTGCAGTGTGAAGAGTGCAGTGTGTAGTGTGGAGTGTGAAGACTGTCAGGTGTGAAGTGTGACGTGGAGCTTCAAATGTGACATGAGAAACAAGACACCAGTTTCGCAGAGTGCACGCACGCACGGGCTTCGCTGGCGCACGGCGCATGCAAGTTCTATAGATGAGAAAGGTCTTATATATATCTTTAAGGCAACTTCCGCCCCGCCTCGTGCGGGTACTACTGGTAATATATTACCCATCAACTAGTCATGAAAATTGTTAAATCATGTTAAATCCCCATGATACACGTCAATAAAATGGTTAATGGTGAAAATTCCCATGATAATATTCACATCACATGATCTTCCCATGTTACGGTAAACCACAACATTTGGCTCGATTCTGAGGCTCTTTGGCCGTGCTATTCCTTGGCCGGAACACATGATCCAAATCAGCCTCCCGGCGCGTGAAAAACATCATTTTTTGGTACCCTGAAATAGTCGGTTAATGGATGTTAATGGATGTTGATTGATGTTAATGGAGTTAATGGATGTTAATGGATGTTAATGGATGTTAATGGATGTTAATGGATGTTAATGGGGTTAATGGAGTTAATGGATGTTAATGGATGTTAATGGATGTTAATGGATGTTAATGGATGTTAATGGAGTTAATGGAGTTAATGGATGTTAATGGATGTTAATGGATGTTTCCGAATGCTTATTCCTTCAAAAATTGTAATTTACCAGGTTTTGATCCATTGTTTAAATGTGATTTGAACATCAAAATGGGGATTGAATCATCCACCAATGACGGTTTGGGTGTCAAACAATGTAGGTTTTGAGTTGTGAAACAACACGGAAAGATGGTATGTGAACTGCTAAGGACGATGGATGCAAAACCTGTTTGGCAATCAAACATGAGTTGACCGGGAAAGAATATGGGCTAATGTCTACTCCGGATTAATAAACCGTGGTTGACATTTATTAATGGTCATTGGTGGGGGTACCCTCCAATAATAAGAACAATTGTGGGGGTACCCTCTAAACATTATTAATAAGAACTATGGTTTATTAATTGTGGGGGTACCCTCCAATAGTCACAATAATGGTACCGCCCCCAATTAAAAGGCCTAGGGGGTTATTAATCCAGGGTTGACATTAATTTGATGATCTGTGGATGGAGTATGACATGAACCTCAGGGTAAAAATCCAATGTTACATGTACACTGCTATGATTATCGAAATGTATGTCAGCCGTGTTTGGTAGATGATGCTCGGTGTGTTGCAGCAAATACTAATGACAGTGTGATGGAAAGACAGACGAACCAGCTATAAGACAACATTCTTCAGGAGGGTGCAAAAGGTTACCCTCTGGTGAACCAACATAAATATGGAAAACCACAATCTTAATATATAGGTAAATCAGCTATAAATGAGTCATTTTTGCATAGCTATGTTAGTTTGCCAGTGGGTATTGAAAGAATCAAACAGTTACGGGAAGGGTTGACCTTCTTATAAATGTGTTTATAACCCCATCGAACTATGGACATCTATGGATATAATATCATGATATACGCACAAATGGAAGGAAACCTGCTTTCAAAATGGTTTGAATCCTGATTCAAACCTTCTGGTATCATGATATACCCACGTGTATACACCATTAACCCATATGAATCCAACTGTGAGCATAGCAGCCGAGTTATAGTTATCACCTTACCTATCGATAAGCGGGCTCCTTCTTGGGAAGCTGACCTCAACGGGCATGACTTGGCAGCCAACAGGCATGGGTCAAATCGGATTCCCCATTTTTACTCTCCGGTGATTTAACATAGCTATTAAAAATTGCCCATTTATAAGATGCGTACCCATTAAAATTGTGATTTTCCATAGTTATTTGGTTGGTGGTTTCAAACATGTTTTATTGTCCATTTCATATATCGTTTAATCCTTCCCATTGACGAACTCATATTTTTCAAGATGGTTATTGCACCACCAACCAGTTTCAAATCAACATGGATGGTATCTCTAGTTGATTTTCCTATTAAACATGGTGGATCTTTCCATATAAATGGCCATTATCCACTATAAATTGGTAAATCCACTATAAATGGCAATTTTCCATAGTTATGTGGCTGTTTACCAGAAGACATTGGTTCAATGCCAGAGATCGACCTCGGCTCCCAGGTCGACACACCGATGCCGAGCTCAGGGTATGTCGCATGGCTTGTGTTTTTTTTCAGTGGCGGTCTTCACCAGCATACATGGGGTTATAAGCTAAGAAACATGGGGATATAGAAATGGTTAAAGCCATGGGTTCATGTATATAGAACATACTTTTAAGGGTAAACTAACATAGAAAACCATAGAAAACCCCTATGAAAAGCTCATGGGAAACCCCTAGGAAAATCATCTAGAAATACTGTTTTTTTCTGTCCACACCTGTGTTTACCCTAGGGTAATGGGATAGATTGGGGCTCGCCCCATCCAGATAGATACGATCTCGCTGTGCCATAATCCATCTGGATGGGTCATATAACAGGCCAATCTTTTGCGACAAAAACGGGGTGTTATATGTATATATCTACCAGTCCCCCCAAGAAAATTGGGGTATCAAATATTGACCATGATTTCCTAAAATGGGGGGGGGCGGGGGGTACCACTAAATCATCCATTTGTTTGGATGGATTTTCCATTATAAAGCAGCCATGGTTTATTCCCATAACTCGGCTCCTGAGCCACGTCGACAGGCTTATTCAACTCGAAATCTCAAGGCTCATGGGAGTTTCAATGTTGAAACCGTATGGCATAAGACCCTACATACTGCTGTATGAACTTTTTTGGTTTGCGTTTTTGAAACTCGAGATATCACACCGATATATATATATATATATCATGAGTGTGTGGTTTGTCGATAATATATAATTGCATAAAATCCATTTGCAAGTTGTAGATGTATCAAGTATTGTAATGTTCAAGAATCTGAGTTATGGGCAACAGACATGATAAAGCGCTGCCGCACGTACATATATATATATACATATAAAGGTATATGTATATAACCCCAGAATGTGGTTTCTCATGTGCTTTCACTACTGGCACAGTCACTCACCCTAACAGGAAGTAGTGATTTGTTCTTGCTCATTTCTTGGGAAAACCAATGGTTATGACGTTTACATAGCCATGGTTTGTTGATGGCCCATAGATTTATAGATGGTTTACCGAACTTAAAAATGGTGGATGGAAAGATCCATGGCTATGTTAAATAACCAGATGGTACAAAGCTGTGGCTAAATCTTACATAATTTAGCTCGTGTACTGATGATCAATTTGATGTGCCTTAGAATGATGATCGACGTTCAATTGGCCCATATTCCATTTAGATTTTATTCGTATTAGATCTGACTTTCACAGAGAAGGTTCCATCCTATTGACATTTTATTTTATGTTTTTACCATCTTGATGATTTTGACCTTAGTTTTGTTCATCCTATTCTTATCCCCAGCTATAAGTTGGTTTACAACCCCCATGAACATGTAGATTTATAGATGTATTACCCTATAGCCTATAGCTATGGCCCAACTAACAGTCAGTTATAAATGGGATTATAAATCCTATAACTGAGGTTATAATAACGGTTATCTATCATGAAATAATCCATGTTTTAACTGGTTCCAGGGCCATATTTCCCTAATCAACCCTGGTGAATCTCGTTTTTTTCAACCAAGGATTCAACCGTCTCGGGTGCCCACCTCGCCATGATTAACCTTAGCGAAATGATTCTACACATTTAAAATGATTAACAATGATTAACTATGGAAAAAAACCATTTTTTAATGGGAAAACTCACTATTTCAATGGTCATTTTCAATAGTTTTTTGTATGTTTACCAGAGGGTAACCATGATTAACCTTTATATATGAATCAGTGAATTAATCGGCATGAACCATTCTTGCAAAGCATTCACTGTTATTAATAAACCAGTATTAATAAGTATTCGCCAATTCTAACCGTTATTAACAACTATTGGCGAATTCTCACCACTATTAATTAAACATGATTTACACACATTAACCGTTATTATTAACCAGTCTCAACCATTCTAAACCGTTATTAACTAGTTCTGACCATTTTTGACAGCTATACATTCAACATGGTTTTATCATGATTGACAATATTGAACCATATTTAACCATTATTCGCCAGTTCTAACCATTATTAACCACTATTAGCCATTATTATTGACATGTCAGATCTTATCATGTTGTGTATTCTTTTCCCAGGATGCGTTTATGTTTCATGATCCTATTTATGATTCATGTCCATTGCCGGGGAATCTGTAGGGAATATTGTGTTTATATTTCTTGGAGGTTCCTTAAGCAAATAAATACAGAACCATTACTTACTATTATTATCCATTAGTATTAACAATTTTTATTTATTAGTATTCACCACCATTATCCATTACTGTCATTTGATCCCTTAGATTATTATATTATATATTATCATTAAACTATACAACAGATATCTGACTAAGTGAATATTTGATCCATGTAAACAAGGACCAACAGCATCTTTGATCGTCTCTGAGGCTGCGAGGAACTCCGACAACTGGTGCGTCAGGCACCCAGCCAGCAGCTCCAGGCGCAACGGACATCGGATAGGATTTCTCCATGGATTTTCCTATCCTTTTCCTGTGAACATGGGGGAAGTTCTTTGGACTTTTGATGGGCTGTGTTCTGGAAGATTTGAGTCTATATAAACCTATGACCATCTGGTTATGACCAACATAGCTGGCTGGAAAAACCCAACCATAAATGGAGGTTTCTAGCTGGAACAATCATCTATTTCTATGGGCCATCTATACCATGGCTATGTTAAATAACCAGAGGGTAATATAAAACACGACTTTCGTTTTATGACATGTTGTGTGTGTGTGGCTTCTTATTTTCAAGAAAGAGAAAGCTAAGAGTGTGGAAGCACCAGACAGAATGTGGGATGCTTGATTGGAGATTGAAGAGAGAGCATGTATAGCATTGTATAGCACCCAATGATGATAACCCCTAATGTTGCAAGTTTAATTCAAAAACCCAAAGTAGATTGTCAAGAAATTCTCAAACTGGTTACGCTCCGGTAAACTAACAGTTTGCTATTGAAGCCATGGCCAGTCGAAATCGTTGATTTTCCCATTAAAAATGGTGATTTTCCATTCCCATTTCAATCCCCAGCATTCAGAGCAGAGGACTCTCCGCATTTCATCCCAACCTTTTTTTTGGGGGGGATTGTTTATTGCTGGATGTACAGGAAGAGCCCCATACTCAACTAAATTGGTTTGAGGTTACTATATCTAGGGGTTATGGTAGATATAGAATGATTTATCGAACTAGTTGAGCAGTTGAGGTGTTTGCAGTTACGGTTTCAATGTAAATGGTGTTAAAAAATAAATGCAAACATAACCCTGGGGTCCCTTCCTGGGTTTCACATGGTGTTTATATGTGCATATTTACTCATTCAATCCCCATGACAATTGCGTCCTGTGTTCTATTCCCCACATGTTTTTCATGTTCCGAATGTTTCCCATGCTATGTTTTTCCATTTTCGCCCAGGTGTTTTTGTTTTCTCTCAATGTTTCCCATGTTTTTCCATCTTTCCCATGTTTGTTTTTCCCATAAATCCGAAGAATTTGGTCCATTTTTGTTCCGTGTGTTTTTTTTTTCCAATCGGCATGTGTTCTCCCTCATGTTTCCCATGTTTTCTACTTTTTGCAATCATTTTCTATTTTCGTTTTGGTCCCATGTTTCCTGTATTTTTCAAAAAAGGCCGAAGTTGTTTTTTATTTGCCATTTTTTCCAGTGCTTCACTACATTTGTTCGATGATTTTTCCATTGCATGTTTGTTTTCTGTTTTTTTTCCTCCAGGCGGTCAGGAAGAAGTACATGTTGGCACAGCCACCTGGTGACAAGCCATTTTTGTTTCTGAGGAACAACGCACACATAGTATGTATATGTATGTATATATACATACATATATTTGACATATAAATATATATATATATATATATATGTATATTATAATTTGCATATACCTATATTTTAATTTGTAGATGTATAGTGTGTATATATATACTATATTCAAAGTGTACATGTGTCTACATGCATGTATATATATATTTCAAGAGTTGACATAATATATGTATATATTCTATTTGTGTCAGAAAAAACTGCAATAAATATGTATATATATATATAGGTATGCACATGCCACATGAAATCAAACTTATTTATCAACTTCTTATATACCCCAAAAAATACCAATTGGTTTTAGGTTTCAATTAATTATCGATTAATACTGCTATGCTGCGGAAAGTAGTTTGACTTTCAGGGATAGATTATGAGAGGATTGAACACCCCATTTTTGTTGTGGGGAAGGCAACTGCAACTAACATGTGTTTTACGACAGCTATATACAATTATCCTATTCGTTGTTGGTTTCACTTTTGTCGTATTGTTGACTTATAACTTGGTTGACTCGGGTTGATTAGGGGTATAAAACGAATTCAAACGATAGTTAATGGGTTATAGGTTCAAAATCCATGGGAAATGACTCCTCGCCTTGCAGGCCTGACCTTATCGACGTTTTATTCCAAGACCACATTTACAGCAACAACAAAAACGTCAAACACATCTCAACTTTCATCCAAACCGTGTTACAACAATGACATGTTACAACGTTTAAATCTATATGTTCTTAACGTTGTAATGCAATTATTAATAATCATTAAGAATAAAAACAATGTCATTGTTTCACGTCGCTTCTGCCCAAATGACGTTTTTGACAGGTTCCACTGTTCCACCCCAATCTCGCGCCATGTGAAGTTCCGAGGCATTACCAGGTGGCCCGCAACGCTGTCCTGGTGGCTGCCTGAGTCATCCGATGTCATTTGACTTCGGACGCTGCTGGCGTCGTGTCGCTGGGGCCCGGTGCAACATCGGAGCCGCGTCACCGCGGTGGCGTCGTGTCCTTGCCAACGTGGGGAATGGCTTGCCATATAACAAGAGATATGATGAGATGTGAGATTTAAGACTCTTGCTGGTGCTTAAATCATTTGAAATCCCGGATGGACATTGTAATGTCGAATAATTTTGAACCCCGATCGTAAATTGAAGTTTGGGTGGGGTGCAGCTGGCTGATTTAGGGTTTGAGCCCGGAGAATCTTACTGTAGATCAAAATCAAAAGCATATTTTGTTTCTTGCCAGGACAGTTGACAGTTGATAAACATGTTTCATTTTGCCATGCCATGCCAGATAGAGAGTGCAAGTTCCTGGTTTCCACGTTAGTTGAGGACAATTGTCCGAATTTCAGTTTAGAAACACCGCTCAGGGGACGACTGTTGACTGTCAAATTGTCAATTGGTTCGCCTGAAGCCACGTATGCAAATATAATCTATAATGTTATAACAAACGAATATGTATATATATATATATGTGTGTGTGTGCAATTATTATTATTGTTAGTATTATCATAAATTTTTGTTATTATTTATAAATTATATATATGTATATATATCCATACTGCGTACACAGAAAAACATGTTGATTTGTTGATTGGAAATGTGTTTCTTGTTTGTTAAAGATGACGAGTCAAGAGTAGTTACTTTGGGGTGGTGAAACCTCCAAATCTGGACGAAATCTCTCAGAATCATGAGTACCAGCATTCTACATGGACTGCAGTGCTTTGGAAATCGTTTTACCATCTGGTTATGACGTTTACATAGCCATGGTTTGTTGATGGCCCATAGAAATAGATGATGTTCCCAGCGAACTAAACCTCCATTTATGGTTGGGATTTTCCAGCCAGCTATGCAACAAATAACCAGATGGTAATTATATAGTCATAGCCCCCCAAATCGCGGTGCGATATTGAAGCCAACAGAGCTTGGTTTCATTGCTCAATGCTCGTTTTTTACCCTCAAGTGATGCGACCGCTCGTAGCACTTGGGAGCAATTCAGCATGCACGCTAGGGGCCCGCCGTGGTTACATGCCTGCGCACTGCACGCATGGGCAAGGTTCTGCTGCATGGACGCGATCCATTTCTCAGGCAAATTTGGTGCCTTTTTCTTGATTGCTCCACATCCATCCTCGGACACTGCAGCTCCCTTGTTCTAGTCTAAGTTAGGTGGACCTAATTCATTTGCATCTCATTGCATGTGCGCTAATTCAACGCGGAAACGCGGTGTTTCATCCACAAAAGGTCAAAAAAGTCCGCAGATGAAGTGAACCTACTTATTGACTGTGGGTTCACTATTTGGGAAGCAAATGCAGGTAAGCACTGGAATAGAGACGAGCTTGCATTCATGCAGCCAACCTTTTGAACAGAAAAGTGTAACATTCACCTCATTTGCCCATTGATTGGCAATTCAAAATGTTTGTTAACGAATTGCCTAATCTCCTGTTTTTATTGTGGTCGTCTATGATTTTCTTATTTCTGTGCTGGGCGAATCACTGACGTGCCCAGGTTGGCTCTTCGATGACCCACGGCTGGACCAGTCGATTGCGGAGCCCTTGCAGAGTGTGAACCATTTAGCCTTCTCACCTCAGCCCCTTGGATCCTTGAGATCTCTGGGGTGGCCATGGGTGGTCTGGGGGTTCATTGTGTGGTTCATTGTGGTGAGCATGGTCAATTTGGTGAAATTACCCCATTTGATGAGTCATGATGAGTCATACATTTGTACACAGACTATTCAGCACTAGGCACATCCAAGCGGAGATGTTGGAAGTTTCATACAGCGCCTTTAGTGGCCAACCAGGGCAGAGCTTCACAACCCACCCTGGTTTCACGGATGTTTGCGGACCCACCTGGCCTAGGAAGTGCGCCCACTTCCTGGATCAACCCTGGTTGCCGCAACGTTTGAGTCGTTGATTTTTGCTCATATGTTTAACTGTTTATAAATGGGGATCTACAACAATTTTTTTTTTGCGATTAGTAGATTAGCATCCTTGAATCGGCAATATGTCTTGCGGTTTTTCAACCTAAGCGGGAAACTGCAAACAAGAACCAGCCAAGGGTTTATCAAAGCTTCCTTAAAAATAAGGCTATATATCATGTTATATGTCCATCCTGTACCCATAGGATCCATGGTGCTGCTATATATGGTAACATGGATCCCATCAATATACCCCAGAATCATGTTAGCATATACAGAAAACAATGGATCCGTCATGGGGTACTGGAACCACTGCAATGACTGACTTTTAAGGTTCTACTTCATTGAGACCTACTACACCTGGGGGATGTTGGTCTTGCTGTTGTCCATCACCGTCTTCCTCCGCAAGCAGCCTCTCAGCCGCATAGGATGGCTGCATCGGGTAACCGTGGAAATGGGAAACGTGGACCAGTGGGAGGTTTGAGTGGGAAAACACATAGGAAACTATGGGAAGTCCGTTATAAATGATATAAATGCAGGTGTTAATATGTTTTAATAGGACAACCATTTGATATCATTTGTACTTACAGCACGCTACGTTACATTACCGAATGGTAAAGCTCCAGCCTTGGTAGTATTTCTAAAGCTTGCGCCCTCCATGATTCTTACCATGCCAGTGGCGTCAACATCCACAATCTTCAGGGGCTTAAAACCTGCAGTGCTCGGCAATTTGCTCGTAGGATCTCGTAGGTTCAATCGAGTGCATGCATGTACTATCTGCGCTATCTATCTCCATTTTTTTAGTGATTAAACCCCCATCATTGCTGGTCAAATATCCATGAAGGTAGGTTAACATATAAGTGTAAAACATAACTATAAACATGCTGGTTGGTGGACATTTTTTCTCCCAACTGACTAATATTTTTCAGAGGGGTTGAAACCACCAACCAGCATGATTTCAGATGATTTTAATCATCAAGAACTGCTCAGGATTTAGACCCATTCTGAATCTTGAACGCTGGACGCTGTGTTTTGCTCAGGCTTGGTCCATCCCACTATGGGCTTTCCCCAACACACCATTGGCATCACATTCTTCAGTGTTAGGATGTGTAAAACCGTTAAAACATGTTAAAACCAAATGAAGTCCCATTCTTGAAGTACAACTGAATCTCCTCCTGGATTGTTTTTTGGTGGGGAGTGAGCTACTGTGTTAGGAGCTTCGCGTAGAACTTGTGGGGAGTTTCCAACCACATGATAGATTATATTCCATATCCGAAGAACCATGCTTATGTATGGTTCCCCACTTAGTTGTACTACCTATCACCATAACTGGTTGGTGGTTTGGAACATGTTTTTATGTTTCAATATATTGGGAATAATAACACCAACTGCCTCATATTTTCCAGAGGGGTTGAAACCACCAACCAGTCATTATTATAAGTTTTTTGTTCCCACTATCATTATGAATATCCACTATCATCATTAATTATCAAAGAAACACAATTATCAAGCCCATCAACTAGTTCGATATATCACCAACAAAAACCATAAACTATAGTTCTAAGTACCATAAACATCCATAAACCATAGTTATTGGAGTTATGTGAACCCCAACTTAGCGTTCTCCTGGCCGGCCTATAACCATTGCATCATATCCCTGGGAATCCCGGGACCCCGGGATCCCGCACCGGATCCGAGTCTGAATCCAATGGATGATCCCGCCTTGTTCGTGTTGGTGGGCTGCTTGTCCGGGCACGCACGGTGCATCCCAGTGGGTGATGTTGTGGAAATATGATGGACATATCTATGGAAATCCTATATATAGTGTGTATAGAAATGGTGGATTATTTAATGGATTATGTAATGGTATATATGTATAATGATGTATGTATATGTTTAATCGGATTTACCCTCTGGCAACCATGCAAAAAAACTATGGAAAACCACACATTTTATAGCTGGGTAAATCAACGATTTCTATGGCCATTTTCTTTGTCGCTATGTAACAAATAACCAGAGGGTAATGTGAGACCCTGGTGATTATATGGGTGTGTTTGAAAATTGGCAAACAAAAAAACGAAAAAAACGATTGGTTCATCATCATGAATCCATTCATTTCTGGCTATTTGTGAAGTATAAAAAACCATGTTGAGGCATCCTTAGAAATCCGGTTGGAGTAGCATTCTGAATGGGAAAGATCAATGGTGATCTAAGCTGGTACCGGCGCGTATCATTTGTAAGTAATGGATTTTGATGATTTTATAGGTATTGTGACAAGCCCAATGGTTATACAAGTCACAATCTTTTGAGATGGTTGCTACCACCCATGGGAATGTTGGGAAGTTGGGGGTTTATGGCATGATGGGTTTGCCACACTAGACGTTCTGGCATCGGCTGCCTGATTTGAGAAGTTCACTTTTCCCACTGGTTGGATGAAAATAGAGGGGTTTGAACAAACCCCTTTAACAACAGGTAAATGATGATAGATGGTATACCAAACCGGCCCCTCTATTTTTACCAAAAGGACATTTTTGAAAGAGACCCATCCACAAACCATTCCCGACGTGTTTTCTTTTGCCTGACACTTCGAAGTCTACACTTCTGCTACCACTCCTTGCTTGGTGGCTACCAGCATCTACCAGCCACCAAGCAATACAATCATCCAACCGTCAGACAAGGACAGATGTTCTTGCTGAACTATTTGCTTGATCGAATGATCCGTTGGTTGACTTCTTCTGCCTCCCAGCTGCACAAAAAAAATTGGGGCCCAAGTATCGTGGAGGTGGCATGGCGGCATGCCGTTTGTAGCCACGGTTTTAGAAACCATGACATATATGAAACCGTGGGGAAGTTTAGTTTCCTTCAACGCTATGTTGAGTACTCAATCCGTGAATAAAATCTACGTCCAATAACATGCAGAAATGGTTTGGTGAAGATGGGATATAAACAGCCATAACCCAACAACTGGTTAGCTCCGCGCTGAATTTCGCCGGGTTTATCAACCAACTAGATCCAACTAGCACAGGTGGAAACAGCTTCGCGCACTTAGCTAACCAAGCACTTGGAGGGTCATCTCACATTGAACCTTATCAGTCACCATTTTCTCGTGTGTCCCATTCAGAATCTATAGGGGGAGTAAGTTTTATACATTTTCATTCACTTTATTTACCTATATAGCCTAGAAATATAGGATTTTTATCATAAAATCATAAATGGATTATCAACCCATTGGCCAATCCACATCAATCCACATCAATCCCAGGTCCCAAACGGTCCTTTTTTTTGAGGTGCTTTGGAAGCCCATGGACAACAACAACTTCCGCATCTTCAGCCGTTCGGTGGCGCTGGCGCTTCAACGTAAGGCCGAGATGCAAAAAGAACCGGCTGAGAGTGGGGAAGGTCTCAGGATTTATCCCGGCTCTATGGCTAATGCTGGTAAAACAACAATAAGCCACCCATTTGGGAATGGTTTATACCATCTATTTATAGAGATTTGGGGGATGGTTTAGCATTGTTTTAACCTCATTAGTAAATGATGGGGAAAATAATGGTCTAAAGAGTCTAATCTCTGAACCAACAGTTTTGGGGTATGTATATCATATAGACTACAGCATACTTTCTAGTTTCAGGTAAACCCGTATACTAGATACTAGAGTATATAATATGTATATTTGCCCATAGATAGATTTTAAGAGACCAACAGCTCGTATGTTGTCTTTTACCAAGCATAAGTACCCTCTGGTAATTTAACATAGCTATGGAAAGATCCACCATGTTTAATGGGTAAATCCACTATTTCTATGGCCATTTTCAATACTTATGTTAAATTACCGGAGGGTATATGTGGCATTATATCCCATGATATGTCCAGAGTGTTACGGTTGGAACTTTAGTTGCAACCCTATTTACAGCTGCTTTTCCCATGATAAATCTCTAAATGTGAAAAACAAACACATGATAAATCTTTTTAATCGCTTGATCCATGTGAATAGTATTGGATAGACTCAGTATAATCTTATCGATCATCTCATCTAAACAATATTAGCAACCTTCATTCTATGGTCCCAAATATGTGTAAATTATTTTGATCCACGGTGATTTCTGGGGTGTTTAATAGTTATCAGGACCCAATTAAATCCCGTTAATGATATATATATATATATATACATATAAATCACATACCATTTGGTTATTTAACATAGCCATGGAAAATCACAATTTTTAATAGGTAAACCATCTATAAATGGGCAATTTTCCATGTGGCTATGTTAAATAACCAGAGGGTAAAACAAAAATCCCATTACCCTCTGGTAAACTAACATAGCTATGGAAAATCACAATCTTTTATTGGAAAATAAACTATAGATGGCCATTTTCAATAGCTACGTTAAATTACCAGAGGGTATCCCACAATTTTCCAGATGGGTGGTGCTACCATGGCACCATGGTGACAGAGGATGCTGCCCTGGCCCAAGAGAAGTACCGGCAGTGGTTCTGGCAACGCCATTCAGGCAAGCCGAACTGCGAGAGTTTGTGGATGCTACTGTGGATGGGCCGTTGCGAAATCCGAATGCACCAGTTCATAGATGGAAAGTTTATCCCATTATTTATAGTTGGTTTATCCCATCCCAGGCGATGCAGGATGTCGCAGCCATCCATAGTATGTTTAGCATGTTGATCCCCTAAAATCCATTGATTTAGGATCCTCAAAATGGATCAAAATGCTGGTTTAGCCATCAGCAATTGCTGAGGAGTAATGGGATTTACCCTCTGGTAAACATACAAAAAGCTATTGAACATGGCCATAGAAATAGTGGATTACCCACTAAAAATGATTATTTATTTTCCATAGTTATATAAACGTTTACTAATGGGATTTAATGGGAATGTACCCTCTGATTAGTCATTTTCACGGGACCGTCGCGATCCGAAATAGCGCCTATAGGGGTTTAATGGGAACAACTGGGATAATAAATAGGTATATCACGGTATATCATTTACACCATGCCCATGTTCAATAACTATGTTGTGATTTCAAAAAAACAACAAGTGTTTTGGATATGAACCTAAATGTTATTTTCTGTTGGGAAATGCTTCTCTTACAGGTAACCTAAATACGTTCCTTTAGGTGAATATCCCAAAAATGATGTATGAACGTTATGAACCTAGGTGTTAGCCAGAAGAAAGCATTGGGATTTTCAGCGACAAACACAAGTTGCAGACATGGAGAGAGAACACCAAAATGATTATAATTCTACCATTGAAAGATAGTTGAGTCTGGGTGTGGCTGGCAGGTTTGATGTGCAAATCTGCACAACCCCGATACACAATATGTCAATATACAACTATATATATATATATATACATATATATATATACATAGAAAGAGAGAGAGAGATATATATATACATATGTATAGATGTATATGTGTGTGTATAGATAAATGAATAAATAAATATAAATATATAAATATATATAGATACCAACCTTTGGCACAAAAATCGGGCCAGACTATGGCGGATGACCGTCCGAGCCATGGAATTTGGAGAATTCCATTCGAGCCAGCAGCGACGGCACGTTTTGGAACCAGACCAAGGGGGTTCGAAAATACTGTTAATAGTCTCCCATCAGTGGTTGCTGGTGGTTAATACGGCCTTAAGATTCTCTTATAACTCTCTGGTTGGTGGTTTGGAACCATGGAATTTTATGACTTTCCATTCAGTTGGGAATGTCATCATCCCAACTGACTTTCACTCCATCATTTTTCAGAGGGGTTAGCAGCAACCACCAACCAGCTTAAGTTTCCCAGTTGCAGCCCATGTTTGTTCAGCGTCAAATCCACTGGAGCATCGCTGGTATTGCCTGGCAGGATGGTTGGTTGGCCACTTGAACGACATCTTCACACCTCGTTCCCGTGAGCGATACAAGGGAAAGCTCAGCCTGCTCTACCAGCGCCTTGGCGTTATGGGCCGAGATGTTACCGGGAGAACTGGGGAATGACTTGGAAACAAATGGGAAATGTTGAAATGATCATTTCAATGAAGAATTTCTTGAGGATTGGAGGATTTCATAATCTGAGCAATTTCATGGGGGTACCAACAAAAAATAGCGCATTCTCAGTATTTCGGGTGAACCACCATTGATCCATCAACCAGGGGAACTATGAATTCATATTCTTTCCAGGGTTAACATTGGTGATTTGTTCAATGTGAAAACAGGCGAATTACTCATGTAGAACAGGCTAACCATTTATTCCTTGACCCTCCATAGGCCCACAGAGATTTGCAAAACTACGGAGTAGACACATGTAGACACATTTTTTGTAGGTCAGCTGAGGGACTAGGTGCACGTCCAAAACACATATGACAAAAAAACCGTTGGATGTTACTATAGCACAAAACCTCATGGTTTCGGACCTCATGTTCATGAAAATTGTCCCATTGTGTTCCCCGACTTTGTATATCAACAGAATCTTTGTGGGTATTTCTTCAGCCCAGTCTTCCGCGGGTTGCCCATATTCCCAGGCAGGCTCTGCAGCTTCAACCAGCGACTTGGCCTTGGGGAAGTGAATCAGCATCCCATCCTTGGTCCAAGAAATATATGTTTGAAACCATATACGATAGACAGATATAAAAACTGGTCGGTGGTTTAGAACCATGTTTTTTTCCCCCATTCAGTTGGGAATTTCATCATCTCAACTGACGAACTCCATCATTTTTCAGAGGGGTTAGCGGCAACCACCAACCAGAAAAGTATATTTGGGGAAGATGAGATGAGTGGCTGCTGCACCTCATGATGTTCCAGTGACCTTCAACATTTGTCCAGTCTCTTTACTGCCTGGGAGGGCCATTTCAATGGACCGATTCATTGGAGGTACCTAGCGTACCTACGTCATGAAGGCCATTTTTTTCAGGGAAGACCCCCACAAAATATGGCTTCATTTATAGAAGGTCCGGACATTGCCACTGATTTGCACTGATTGCCTGTGCCACAGGAGCCACCAGGCATACCAGGACCCCTGTCACATTATGTTCACCCTTCAAATCCGAAGTCGGCTCAGAATTGCACACAGCCCCACATTGATGTTGAACATTTGGCAGATTTTATACCTGATTGGTGGTTTGGAACAGCTTTTATTTTCCATATATTGGGAATTTCATCATCCCAACTGACAACCAGTTATAGTCAAGTCATCCAGTGGTTGAGAATCTGTTTCATATATCCAATTTTCACTGGAAATGGTTTATTCCTAGTGCCCGCTCATATTCAAACGATTCAGCTGGCTCCCGCAACCCTTAAGATTGCCCTCTGATACTCAAACGTGGCGTGGAAAATCCACCATGAACGATGTTGCTATCTCCATGGCCTTGGTTCCCATGGCTATATCCCAGCCACGTTGACACGTTGACACGTTGACACCGGAACCCCTTGGGCCTTGGCGCGCGCCCCAAGCGGGTCCCGTGCGCCCAGACCCGCGTCTACAAAACGCCGGGTGATGCCTTCCCAGAGCCGGTCGGGCAGCAGGAGCTGCCGGAGAACCTACGACTAGAGCGCCGTGGCCGCCGTGGTGTCAAGGGGCACCCGTTATAAATGGGTTTAAGCTGGGCACTTAATATGGTTACTAATGGGTTACTATTGGTTACTGATGGTTACTGATGGTTTAATTGTTATTGATGCTTATTGATGGTTATTAAGGGTTATTGATTGGAACTAAAACTAAGCCAACAAAAATGTAAAAAAAATGGGTTTGAACACTAAACATGGAGACTTAATGAGATGAAACCGAGATTTACCGGGGATCCCCCCGAAAACTGCCAAGGTCTGGTATCCAAGGTCTTGTAGGCCGAGTGTGGCCTGTCCATGTGAGGCTCAAAATCAATTTCCCTTCAACATTCAATATATATATTTATATATAATGTACATGCGGTTTATTTGTGATAACATATATAATATTCCTTTATATCTATCTAGCTAGCTAGCTAGCTAGCTATCTATCTAATCTCCTCTCCTCTCCTCTCATCTCATCTCATCTGATCTAATTTGATTTCCGGATTTCCCTGCCGCAGCTCAGGCTGGAAGAAGACGACTCAGAAGATGAGGCGAGTTCCTTGGCATTGCCCGGCAAGGCCGGGGAAAATTGTGATTTTATGGAAGTTATGGCCCAACTAACAGGGCCTTAAATGGGATAAAGTACCTTCTATATTCGAGGTTATATAACATTATCATCATAATCCTATTTTACAGCTGTTAGTTGGGCTATAACTGCAGGAAAGGACGAATTTGACCATGTTTAAACCCCGAAAAGATATCAAATAACAGTATTGCTTAATATATGAATGACATGTTCTTGGTTTTTTGTGAACAGTATTGTTGCAACCTCAATTTGGCAGGGTGTATTTTAGCCAGGGATGGCAATCTGAGTTAAGCAGCAATGATTTGGATTTTTATTTAAAGAAGCTCAGAGTGAGTTTGGCATGGTTCAACCCACAGCAACGGAGTTCAAGAGCCAAAATGCGGAGTTGACAAAGCAAATGGGGAGTGGGGTGTGTTTGTACAGTTCACCAGTACACAGATAGAAGCAACAAGAACATAACAACTTGGGAGATTGTTTATCTATTATATGATTTACCCTCTGGTTATTTAACATAGCCATGGAAAATCCCTTATAAATGGAGGTTTTAATGGGAAAATCATCTATAAAATCATCTATAAATGGGCCATCTATACCATGGCTATGTTAAATAACCAGAGGGTATATGATTTAATTAAGTCTATTCCATTGAATTATGGACCTTCCATTGCTATTCCCTTCATCGCGCCAGGGCGGCTTTGGCGCCCTGATGCTTCCGGGCGTCACCAGCAAGCAAGAACCCAGTGTCCTGGCACGGGTCAAGGGTGGCTGGTTACATCCACGTGTTCCTTAGCCAAGTTGGTTGACCAATTTTGCCCATGGGTTTTTTGGGGGTTATGGTAGATATACTTATAGTGTTACTACGGCACATTTGTGCTCAATCCTATTCTTGCTCTTATGAGGGGCCTTTATATCCCCCAAAAGCCCGGAATGTGCCCTAAAGCAGGTACAAGATGGTAGCAACGCGCAGGTGATCCAGCTCCGGATCCAGGCATGGCTTCTCAACCTCCACCAGCTCCACCCGCTCCACCAGCCCCACTATTTGAGTAATGTCAAACCTGGATGAATAAATCCCAAACGATTGTTTAATTGAGAGGGTACCAGTTAAGTATCATATTATGACTATTGGAGGAGTACCCCCCTAATTAATAAACCATGGTGTAGCAAAATCCGGGGTTGACAGTAATCGGTTTTTGTTCTTTTTAATGTGGCAATGCATTCCCATTTCCCAAACCAGCTCCTGTGAATCCAAACCTTTTGGTGATGTCAAAATATAGAAGATAACTCATGATCAGCGAGGCGTGCTTGCCACGCAAGTAGCTTCCCAGACCCATTATAACCCCATATGTTTCCTCAGTTGTTTCCCATTTGTTGCCCATTGTGTATAAAATCCATTATTTGTTCCCTGTTCCCTTAAATCATCCCATTGTGTCCCCATTATATTCCATAATCATCATACATAAATCACCAGTTTGGTTGCAAGTAAATCAGCAACGTTTATATCTCCAATTTCCATCAATTTCCCTGAATTTTCCCAAAGTCAAGTCTCAAAAGTCTCCCAACTTCCCAGCTTCCATCTTGTTTTCCATCTTGTTTTCCATCTTTTTGCATGGATTTGACCATGGAAAATCCGACCATCACGGTGGACAAGTCACTGGGTCGAGTCCGAGGTCAAGGTATGCGCCAAGGTATGCGCGCCTCAGTGGCCCTGAGGCAACTGGACATCCCCTCGCTGCACCTCGTCGGCGGGATCCGGGGATCCGGGGGGATCGTTATGGCTCAGTCGTCATCCCCCAAAAAACATGCGGAAACCATGACATGCTACCCTCTGGTTATTTAACATAGCCATGGAAAATGACCAATTTATAGATGGCTTACCTATTAAACATGGTGATTTTCCATGGCTATGTTAAATAACCAGATGCTACTATTTTGAATGATGATCAATAGTGATGAACTCTATCAGACTCTATCATATTTTGGTACTTCGATATCATTTTTGAGCGTAAAGGTTTGCATTTGCCCAGATTCGTTGGATTTTCCAGGGGTGTAGTGGATGGTCATGACACCAACACAGGGGTGGGGAACCATTTCTGGTGAATGGCTGGTGTGAATTGACGGGTCATGGTCATGCTGTTTTGTTGTTTTGTGGGCGAAATTCAACCCAAAACCTGTCAACTGGACTGGTCAATGTCGGGTGAAGCAGCAACTTCACTGTAAATTACCATATATTATGGCTCATTCCTGATCCACCACAATGATTAAAAAGCCACGCCGAAAAAGGCGTTGTTTTCTTGTTGAACTCCCATGAAATCCCCATTTTTTCGGATTGAACTTCTGATTTTGCTCGCCAAGGCCTACCATGCCGCAGGCGGCACTGGAGCCCATCGCGCCACCCTTGGAACTGGCGGACAACTGGCCGCTACAGGCGCACGGGGACGCTTTGGAACTACCAGATGCTGCAGGCGGATAGGTTGGGACTGTTGGGAGCTGAAATTGTGAGGTTCCCATGGGGTTTTTTCGAGGCAAAAATGGGGCAAAAATGATTCATGGTTAAGCCAATGGTATGTCAAAATTCATGGAGTGAATTAGTAAACATGGGATGCCTTGATAATACCGAATGTTAGGTGAGAAGTGGATTTTTTCATGGGGATGGTTGGATTTTCGAATGGGAGTTGTGGATTGGATTGTAATGGTGGTTTGAACGAAACTTTTTTCGGGGAAATTTTGAGGGATTGCGAAAAACATGGTTTGATTTAAAAATTGGGATACCCCAAAGTTTCATGGTTTCCCATCATTCTCCCCCGAATTGAAATGATCATTTTGGGTAGTTTCATTTTCAGACACCATATGGGGATGTTCATGTGATTTTTTGCAACCCAGGTTGTTACAACAACTGTTTGGATTTAAGAAGCGACAAAATGGGATGCATAGATAGTTGATTTGTGTTAGCACAGATGGGAATTTGGTGCGGGAATGGGATGATTGGTGAATGGGATAGGAGTTGAGCATCAAATCTGACCATTGGGATGGTTTCGGAAACATCCAAAAACCATTCAAAGGCGCTGCAGATGCTGAAGTAGAGGTGTAAAAGTATTCCCGCATCTAAATTCTGCAAGGGGGACCAGATGCAACCTTGATATACTGTAAAACGATATAATTAGTGAACTCCCAAAATCGATGTAAACTAACATAGCTATTGAAAATTGCCATTTACAGTTGATTTACCAGAGGGTAACTTGGACCAAAGATGTGTACATTGGGTTTGGCCTTTTTAGAACTGGGGGTTTTACAAAGGGATGGCTTGGGATATCCCACCAAGTTGGTCTCCGGTCAGCAACTGGGACTTGTCAGGGTCATCAAGAACTTAGATTGGATAGATGATCCTCCAATGCCAAGTGGTTCTTGGAGACGCTGTCCCCGAATCCCATTATATATATATATATATATTTCTACATACATACAATATGCCTGGCGAAATTGGACCAACATTCTTCATGATGGTGTTTGTTTCAATACTGAGTTTGGAAATTTCGGGCATCCTATCGCTGACGCCATTGGACCATATTGCACCGCTGTCCCATGGGAGCGAAAACATCACCGCTTGTCGCTGAGTTGGCCTCCTAGAGGAGGCTGAAAACGAAGAGTGGATGGCCACCGAGTAAAAGCCACATTTCATCGAATCATATGTTTTCCCCGGTAAACTTCAAATTTCTCCATTTAAAATCGCAATTTTCCCAGTAAAATCTCAAGTTTCCCCTGGTAAAATTCCAACGTCACAATTTTCCCCACATTTCCTGGTAAGATCACCATGGTCCATAATGAGATTATCATGTTCCCTTGTAAAATCATCATTTTTTTCATTTTCCTCATTAAAATCCAATAATGTTCCCTGGCAAAATCATCAAAGTTCCCCAAAATCATCAATTTCATCTGTAAAATCCGCATTTTCCCTGGTAACATGCCACCTTTTCCCCAATCAAAATGGACCAGGCTTCGGCCCCCTGGCGGCTCTCACTGGCGCCGCCTGGCTGCGCGTGGCGCGGCGGCGCATCATCATGGGGCGCCAGGCGGAGGTGCCTCCATGGAAACCCATGGGGAAAGCCATGGGGAAAGCCATGACGAAACCCAGGGAAACCTAGGGAAAACATGGGAAACCTGAGGAAATCTAGAGAAAACCTACTGTAAGGAAACCTAGGGAAAAACCCCATGCCCCATGGAAAGCTGAGGATTTGTTTATAGAAAAACATAGGAAATCCAGCGAAAATGAATGGAAATCTGAAGGGAAAATCATGAAAATCAATGGAAGACTATGGAAAAACCTACAGGAACATGGAGAAAATCTGTGGAAATCACTTACGTATGGAAGATCTATGGAACCCAGGGAAAATTCATGGGCACCCTGGGACTTGGGGGAAACCTGCGGGAAACATGACTATATGGAGCAACCAGTGGAAGCCATGATTTGTTTTGACGTTTTTGGCCAGTTTGAGAAGAGAATGAGGATGTTCAGCCCGGTATTTTAATGCACAAAAGGTTTCCATATCCCATAGGATCCCTGTATGGTATATACATATATATGCTAACATTTGGGGTATATTCATGGCAAATGTTACCATATATAGCATACATGGATCCTATGGGATATGAGTTCAAAAAGGCCATGGATTGGGATCAAATTAGTAAACATCGAGACATAGATAGCAACAACATGGCGTGAATCCATATAAACCCGGGCGCGGATTTGCACAATCATAAAGGCTTGAACTTGAGATCCAGCTGGGAAACATTTAATCAATGTGAACATTTACTTCAAAGGTCAGAAGTTGCAGGTCAATGATTTCAAATCAACATCTGGTTGGTGGTTTGGAACATGTTTTATTTTCATATATCGGATATCGGGAATAATCATCCCAACTGACTTTCATATTTTTCAGAGGGGTGGGTCAACCACCAACCAGATGGTACTCGTATCTCATTCTGTATGGACCCATCCACATGAAAATTACCGTAGATGGTTCTAGTGCTTTCCAGTCTGTGGCCCTTCAACCAGCTTGGAACCCTTTTTTTTGAATGTTTTCTTGGGAATATGCCAGGGTTTAACTAATAATATAATCATTTGCTAAAGACTTACGCATCCTTGGAGGTTCCCTGAACTTCGTAGTTTAATAGCTAGTGAATAACTAAAACAAAACCTGGAATCTCTGAGTTGTAATCCCCACAAAAATTCGGAATCAGAGCAGATTCAAAATGTCATGGCCTCCAAGTGTGTTTCCATGCCAGGAGTACACCATCGAACAGCCCTTGAATGATGTCTGCGGCGGTTGTGCAGTGCGCGCCAATGATCCTTTCGTCAAGGCGCTCCCAATATCACCAGAAATGAATGGATATTAACCATCAAGTATTGGAGGTTTCTTAGGATTACCACATGAAGATCAAAAAGCAAAGGTGTTTCACTGGAGAAAATCCGGAAATGTTTACCAACAAAAATGGTGACCATGGTGATGTAGCCAACTATAGCTGAACAAATCATTTGGTAAGTTGAGTAGTTCAGCATGTTTTCTTGGCCATACATATGGATGATTTTATTGAACCAAGATTATCCAAGATCACAGCCTAGAATTTACAACTGGCTAACAATGTTTGATTTATTAAATCGTATGGTTTAGATAGGTATTGTAATTTAACATAATTTATAACACCGGGTTTGCATCATGAAAAATGGGGGCTGGGTCGGTCTGGGTGGTTGGATTGATACTAAATATATGTTTATATCATGGAGTTTCCCAAGTTTTTTAAGAAGTTACAGCAATTTACATGGAGCACATGCCCCAGGGCCCCAGGACATCGAACGTACTGTGCTGGGACAGAATGACGCGCTCACGGGTTTGCTCCTGCTGCGCGACTGGTGGGGCAAGAAGTCTCACACCATTGGGCCAATGCTTGATTTCTACTTTGCACTGGTTGGCTACAGCCTAAGCGTGCCCTCAGCAACCCCCTTCTGGTGGCAACTGGACTGTGCGTCCTGCAGGCTATGGGCTAGAAGAAAGAGTGCTACATTGCTACATCAGCTTGGACACGTGTAGCCATGGGTTGGCACAAAGAAAAGGGCTCCATCCCCATTGCTCTTTGACAGTAGCTATAGTTCTTCACTGAACATGATTATTATGGTTGGCCATGGGGATAGAACCAACATAAATAGGGATAGGTCTGTGGAATAGCAAACCCTCCAAGTGCTGAAGATGTTTGGGGCTTGAGGCATTGAGAATATGGCAACATGGCCTCCAGAAATTTTACATACCATCTGGTTATTTAACATAGCCATGGAAAATGGCCCATGTATAGATGGTTTACCTATCAAAAATGGTGATTTTCCATGGCTATGTTAGTTTACCAGAGGGTAACTATTGAACATCGCAAATTATGTTGATAATTTCGTTGTCAAACATCATGATGTTCAATGACATCCCAGCTAACCAGAGTGGCCAGTCCATCCAATGGGACAGTTCCATGTTAAACTAGGTGTACCCTCTGGTAAACATACAAAAAACTATGGAAAATCACCATTGTCAATTGGAAAATCCACTATAAATGGCCATTTTCAATAGCTATGTTAAATTACCAGAGGGTAATAGGAATGAATAGAGTGATGTAACCCACAAGACTTCAATGATCCCAGCTTTGATGTTTTTTCTGCGGATGAAGAAAGATATTGTTTTTTTTGGCTCGCCCAGCTTGCTGGGCCTCATGATGTGTCATGGTCTCATGATATGCCAAAAATAACATATCATAACTATTTTTGTCTCATGATATGCCAAAAATAACATGTCATAAGCATTTTTGGATGATGGTTGAAGGTCTTAAACCTGGAAAGATCCCCTTTGGCCACTTCGGAGCTGCAGCTGATGCTCAGAAGATATTAGATAAATTAGATATATTAAGCTTTGTCACTGGGTCCATTCGCCATGTCAGGGCTTCATTCTTCAGACCCATCAGGACACATCCATATGCTTTTTTTTAAGGTGCAATTTTTCCATATCAGTTTAACAGTAACCTTGCTTCCAAACTGTTCAAGTAACTCTGACATCGAATCAATGTCCAAAAACTCATGGAGGTGCCATCCAGCTCGATTTTCCAAACGGCCAGGCTGGTGATTCGCCCCAACCCTTCACGCTCCCCGGCGCTGCAGGAGCGGGTGGGCATTTGGCAGCATGGTCCACGCTTCAAAGTCTACCTGACGGGTAACCTCCGCCAGCTAATGGCCAGCTTCGAGCGTCACTACGATGTGCCGCCGCAGCGTTTGGCCGGGGCGGTGATCCGACGGTAGGCATAGATAAATGGCTATAACACTGAAATAGATGTGGCTAACGGATTTTCCATAATTTCGGGGGATGAACATCCATTGAATCCCATCTATTTGGGTGTGAGTACCATCATGTCAGCATGTTTGTGGGATTATGTCAAGCCGGCCAGCTTGAAAACGCGTTGTGGACTCTCAGATAGCATTCCCAAATTTTGCAGACCAATGACCCCTGCTGGTGGTTTGGCTCGTGGTTCCAAACTATTTTTTGTCATTGATGTTCCATAATTTGGGGATGATCACCAAAGCAACTACTTACAATATATTAAAAGCAGGTGTGCTTTGCACACCTTAGTTGAGTAGGTAGTGGGTGAGTTTATTCCTATATATAAGTATAGTAAAGTATAGTATAGTATAGTGATTTTTGGTGGGTTAAATCCATATGTTGGCCGGTTGCCGTTGACATGTTCCTTCAACTGCAGGATGGCCCGCTTTCTTGGGTTCGTTTGCCCTATCGAAGTATATAAACCGACCATAAATCATCATGAATCCAATCGTTACCCTTTGGTAAACTAACATAGCTATTGAAAATGGCCATTTATAGTGGATTTTCCCATTGAACATTGTGATTTTCCATAGCTATGTTAGTTTACCAGAGGGTATATAGTACGGTAGCCATCGGTAGCCTAGTTACTTGAACCATCTTGCATCTCTTTTTAGGGCCCATGTTTGCATGTTTCTGGATTGTATTGATTATTAATTCCAATGTTTGATGATGACACAGTTACGCCCACTAAAAAAAACACACTTACCAAAAACATAGAACTTGGTAAAATCAAACAATTGAAAAATGGTAAATTGAACACAGAGCCATTTCTTTTTTGCCTCCTATATGTTTGATAGATTTAGTATACAATACCCCCGGTATTGACAGTCAAGATCCCTGCAAACCCAAAGAACCAGCGATAACCATTTTGTTCCTCAAAACTCAGAATCTACATTTCTGGTTGAAAGTATGGAAACCAACATGGCTGTTTCTGGTTGGAACAGGGGTCTCCAGATATATATATATATATGTGGTTGATGATTGGCCACTGATGTTGTTGTTTTTTTCCGTGTGCTGCAACCCATGACATGAAAGAAATGTGGCCTGTAGGGTGGAGTTGCCAAGAACGCTTGGTGGAAGTAGGAGAACTGGGTTTCATGGTAGTTAAAACATATAAAAACCAATTCTATCCCAATTTTTCCAAATATCTGATGTCATCCTTGGTTTTTTTTGGGGGGTTTATTCGTTGGAACTGATGAGTAAAACTCAGCCAAGAGACGCATCACTGGGGACCGAGGTGCCACCCATGCCGTTCATCCCTTCGTGCGGATGCCCAGGGGTTATAGCGGCTATGGGAGATCTGACAAGGCTAGGGATTCGACAGTGACAAAATCTTAAAGAAATGGATTACCCTCCAGTAAATTAACATAGACCCTGGCAAATAGGGGTTGGAAGACTAGTTTGCACTATAAATTGGTCATTTTCAGGGTCTATGTTAATTTACCAGAGGGTAAACTAAAGTGATTTGGATCATCAACCATGAAAATATCAGGATTTTGGCCGCGAGCATACATGCAAGTTGGTTGAGGCTGTTGAGGTAATCATAATTCATGTAGGTTCACTAGGGATCACTAGGGGCTATGGTAGATATATCGAAGCAGTGGCCCCGTACCTCGATTCGATGATCCCCGATGCCCAAGGCAGTGGCAGAACTGGTTGGATCGTTTGGAGCTCAGTTTGTGTTGGGTCGGGGCTTGGGACAATCCTTGGGTCCAGTGGGAATCAGTACCCCTACAAGGAGGGGCCCCCAAGATAGTTAAGTTGGTGAAAGTACTGTAGGATAACCGGGGTTTATGATAGTTTATGGGTCCCTTTCTGTACTCCTACGTCACCTTCCATTGAAAAATATGTTTTTCGTTGTATTGAGTGGAGTTCAACACATTCAACAGTGATGCCCTGTAGTTGGACAAGTTTATAGCTAGACTTTGGTGGATATGATATGTGTGTATATGTAAATAATAACAATAATAATAATAATAATTAATAATAATCAATATTTAACTATTATAATTATAATAATTTATAGTTATTATATAGTTAAAATAGTTATAGTAATCTATAATTATGATAATTATAATAATTTATATTAGCATTACTATTATTATTGTTATTATTATGTATATATACATAGTTGGATGGCTGGGTGGCCATAAGCCCACATGCAACTCTGAACTCAGCCCTTTTAACTTTAAGATATCCGTGTGTTCAACGCAGCTGCCCACGGATCCCAAGCTTGGTTTTCAGGAGGTTTTCGTAGGCGACAGCTGGGATGATTGATTCAATCACTATAACATACCCCATATGCTCCATGGTGCTGGTATATTTACCTACATTTGCCCTAAAAATCACCCAGTCATGTAGGTAAATATGACATGGAGCATATGGGTACTATAACTATAACCCCATATAACATCATATAACTAGAGGGTGTACGGTATAGTTTTCCAGTAACTAGCATAAAGCCCAGTGATTTCCTATCTGATAGTGGGCCCCAGCTTGGAGGTTTCCGACAGGTCTGGGTACCCTGTGGTAATTTAACATATTTTAACATAACTGTGGAACATCACCATAGAAATAGTGAATTGTCCCATGAAAAATGGTGATTTTCCATAGTTATCCCACTAAAAATGGTGATTTTCCATAGTTATCCCACTAAAAATGGTGATTTTCCATAGTTATCCCACTAAAAATGGTGATTTTCCATAGTTATCCCAATAAACAGTGATTTTCCATCCTTTTTTTTTACGTTTAGCATGTCGGAGATCCCCCGTTCTCCAAGTCCTTGGGCCAGGTCACAACACCTACCAGACGCTCTGCGTGCGTTGCGCCTTGGAAAGGGGCTTGGATCCACCTGAGGCGGGACCGGATAAAAAATCATGGGAAAATCATGGGAAAATCATGGGAAAATATGGGACATCCCGGATGAATATGGAGGTTTGAATCTGTTTTAATGGGAAAAACATGTGTAATCGGGATTTCCAATCGCCATGTTTGATGACCTGAGGCCAGAAAAACGCCGGACTTTGGGGTGATTTGAACAGTTTGAAGCGAGAATTCGAGTGAGAATTCGAGCCTGAGTTGAGAAACACAGATGCAAATAATTAAGGAACAGAAATTGTGATTTGATGTGTGTTGAGCAATACTTAATTTTTTTAATGTGGTTTTAACATGTTTTAACCAAAATATTATGGTTTTGAAAACACGTGTTGAGCAAGAGAAAAGTGAACTGTGGCTTGGATAAACACCCACATCGTGCCAAAGCTCCGATTGACCCGGTTGACGAATTTAACCACCGTATGTGGGGATATTTGGATATCCGGATAGGGTCGAAAACTTGATCAACCGTTTTGAGCAGTGTCCGAATCACCAAGAGTTCCCAATGATACGCCGTAAATCTCACCATGCATAAAATACATACCCTCTGGTTATGTCAAAATAGCTATTGAAAATTGCCATTTATAGTGGATTTACATGGATTTACCAATTAAAAATTGTGATTTTCCATAGTTATGTTATTAGTTTACCAGAGGGTACATATATTTTTCTGTGTAAATACTTGGGCCCTCATGGTTTTGAACTATTGTGGCGAAACTGATGCCATCGTCCTTTATTTGGATGTGGTTTTTGATACCACCTTTTTGACGGCAAGTCATTGTCATTGGGTGAATGGGACATCGTTCATGGCAGTTTTCGGCCCGGATCCAAGCACATGATATTGCCCTTCAATCAATGGATTGGTTTAAGGGAAAATGTTCAGGAAAACCCCATGATCTTAATTGGAACATCGATGGTTTCCGGTTAAGATTTTCCGTAAAAAACACAACCATAATGGTTCAAATGACATCCGAAAGTCGGAGACACATGGAGCAAATTGGATTCCAGGGTGGGTTTTACCCTGCAGAATTTGCACTTTCTTGCTCTCCTGCAAGCTGCTAAAAGTAATACCCATCTACTTAGTTCGTTATACGCCCCATAGACCCTACATACAGGATGGGGCCCCCAAGATAGCGTTCAGTTACCTGAAAAAAGCGACTGAATTATATAACTATGGTTTATCGTGGATATAACTCTAGTTACTGGGGGGCCACCATCCTGTACTTATAATTGACCTACTTATTTTAACCAATTTAGCTAGCCCACTGGGGCACGAGCATGAAAACCCCAGTAAATCAGATGGCTTGTTATAAACTTGATTCCCATCAAAATTCCATTCGGAAATCACATCTTTGCTGGTATATTTATTTATAATTATATATATAATATGATTCAATATGATATTAAGAGATTAAATGCATCCCTGATACGTACTCCAAGTTCTCTAAATTTGTGTCGAGATCGGGCCAACACAACCCAGCGGTGCTGCGAAATCACAGGCCGGCACACCTCCACAGACGCCCTTGGCAATTCAGCAGCCACAGACCCCGCTGACCCTGCGGGACGAGGTGGGCTGGAGCTTAAGGGAAGATTTATACAATGTGGTGCCCCATAGTTATAAGTTGGTTTAGATTCGCCCCAGTAACTATAGTTATAAGTACCATAAACCATAGTTATTGGAGTTATGTTCGCCAACTTAGTTATCTCTTGGGGGCCTCACATTGTAGGAAACCATGTTTTTTTCTATTGAAATATAGGGCTTTCCTGTCAGATTTCCCAGCAATCCATTGTTCCACTAGACGTCACTAGACCTGGTAGTTGTGAAAGTTTCAGTAAATTGGGTACAGCAAGCCACAAAGAAGATAGACCTTGGCACAACTCAATCCTAGAACAATTAATGATGATTAATGATGAACCGAGCCTTTCTATGCACTGGTTTTTGCGTGCTATATGCCAACCTGAATGTTGAATGGGTCATTCAAGGCCTTATGATTTGTTGTTTGTATTTGTTTGTCTTAAGTGGGGTGCCAAGCTTATTTCTTTGGGCGGGATATCTAAGGTGTACTGAAACATAGTGTCACAAAAACTTGGTTGGGTTATAGGGTTCGAAGATGTTTTGCCTGGCGCGTGCAGTCCATTTTTTTTTGATTAGATCCTCAGGTTTCCAGGGACTCAGGATTTTCTAACTCAGACCTTTTTTTTTTGGTTTCACTGTGACGACTTCACTAAATACTCTCTGGTTATGTCAAAATAGCTATTGAAAATGACCATAGAAATAGTGGATTTTCCCATGAAAAATGGTGGTCTTCCATAGTTTTTTGTATGTTTACCAGGCCGGGTATATCTTCTGCCAGGATGGTGCTTCCACAGGCAGTGAAGAAGAAGAGGTGCCCTTTATGGGTGACTGGATGATACCAGTCACCCGGGTAGGTGAGCAGCAGCAAATCTCGGGGTCTTGTTTTGGACCTTGTTTTTTGAAGACCCTCTGGTTATGACGTTTACATAGCCATGGTTTATATGGTGTGTTGATGGCCCATAGATTTATAGATGGTTTACCGAACTTAAAAATGGTGGATCTCTCCATGGCGAACTGTTAGTCATAACCAGATGGTAATCATTGTATGTGACTTGAGATTATTTTGTATCAATCCACTGCGTTCCACTCAGTTCTTTGGGTGGTGTTCACTGAATTATTAAGGGAACGCGATCAATCTATTGTAGCATAAATCACCCAAGGAAGATGCAGACATGATCAAGGGAAGGTGGGTACATCATCTTGTCAGAGTCATTGATTTGTCCCAGAACAACTGGCTGAGAATAGATTTGACTTGTTTCGGATCATTCGCCACCATCAAGACATTGTTTTCAAGAATTCGCTACTTCTGCAAGGTGGTACCTCCCCAGTTATGTCTCATAGTTGGTTTATAATACGACTTATTTCAACTAACTTAGGTTTGAATTCTCAAGTCCCATTAAAATCCAAGTCGAAATCAGCATGTTTCTTTGTGTTTCACCAGGTGAAATCATGTCAACGAAAAAATAACTTTTTGGTGGGCACCAAACGCCCGCCAGCGCGAGCATCCAGGCCTTGATGCTGGCGGAGCAAACGCCTAAGGACGACAAAGACGGCAGCGATTTGGAGCTGGACCCTGCAGAGACCACCAGGCGCCGTCATTTTGTGTCGCAGTGTCGATGGGGATTCTTTATCATTAGAACAAACAACCAAAACATATGGGTGCAAGTCAAAATAGGAGGTCCGGAACAAGCTCCGGGACCACACCCGTTCCAGACCCCCGTTCCATACCCCCGTTCCATACCTCCTTGAAGGATCCGTTCCATACCTCTGTTCCATACCTCTGATTCATACGTTATGATATATATATATATGTATGTATTTAATATATATATATATATCTATCTGTCTGTCTATCTATCTATCTATCTATCTATCTGAATATGTGCAGTCTGATTTTACATTTGTACGCGCATACTTGAGCGCACATACATACATGAGTGTTTACATGCAAGAATACGTTTACTATGCCCAAGCCCTGTGATTGTGTTGGTAAGTCTGTGCCTGCGGCGTTTGTTGTGTGATGGTAGGGATGTGCTTGGCTGTTGTCAGCTGGCAGTCTAAGAATGGATTGCTTGTAACCCTCCCTCCCTCTCAACCTGTGGCAGGTTTGCGCCTGCACCACTTACAGTTGCTGCCGGCTGTGGCACAGCTGTGATGTTTGATGGTAGAGATGCGCTTGGCTGTTGCCAGCTGGCAGTCTAAGAATTGCTTGCTGCGCTACTCTCGCTCCAAACTGCCAATTTTGATAAAGATGTGCTGCATGGTGGCAGAGCTGTGCTGGAGTGGGCCCCGTTTCGTTCCAGACCCCGTTCCATACCGTTCCATACCCGTTCCAGGCCGGGACCACCCATGTACCATCCCTGACCCACTTCCGGGTGAACAAATGGCAGGTTCTCACATAGACTGCTCCTAAGCCATCCTTTGCGCGTGGGTTTTGGGAGCCTAGAGTCTTGCTACGTGGGGACACAATCTACCCCATAGGGACCGGGACCTCTGAGTTTTATGGGACCTGCGTGACAGGTCTGAAGCTGAGTGGACAGCTTCACATAGTAGCCAGTGGATGAGGCTGGCGACCGGTTATGTCCTATCTAGTGCACGAGCACTAGCCATGCAAGGCAAACCTGCGTTGAACAGGTGTACAACAAGGATGCCGCGCAGATGACAAGTGAAAATGAGCGGCAGCCAGCGGTAGTAGCTTCAACGCGCATATCCTTGAGATGTATATTATTTACATATATTATACATATATACAGCATACACATATATTTATACTTACGTACAGCTTATATTTCATCACATTCCAAAGGTCCGGAACAAGACCAGTTACGAAACCCCTTCGTTCCATACGTCCGGAACAGCGCGGAACGTTCCATACACAATTTTGATTCATAGCCATATGAACAACTTAGAAAAAATCACCGGCCAACATGGCAACAGCCCCTATTATATCTGGTTGGTGGTTTGGGAATATGGAAACATGTTTGACCTTGTTTTCCAGAGGATTTAGCAGTGAATTACCAGTGAATTTCTGGTTGGTGGTTTGGAACATGAATTTTCTGACTTTCCATATGTTGGGAATAGTAACCCCAACTGACCAACTCATATTTTTCAGAGGGGTTGGTCAACCACCAACCAGATTATCATGGTCCTAGATCCGAACCAACAATACTATTGTAGCTTGGTTGTGGATGGTGGTTGAACTCTCTGGGAGGCCTTAAAACGCATCATTCAGAATGGTGTTTCATGTTGTTCCTTTGGGTGTCAAGCTCCATTTTTTTTTGTCATTGAAGAGTGGTTACCCTCTGGTAAACTAACATAGCTATGGAAAATGGCCCATTTATAGATGGTTTACCTATTAAAAATGGTGATTTTCTATAGCTATGTTAAATTACCAGAGGGTACTTCCTAGCAAAAAAAGTGCGGTCAGGGAAAAAAACATGGATTGAGTCTGGTGCATTCGCGACCACGTCGAGTCAAAATGGCTGCTCTCTGGATGTTCACTCCTCCATGCAGATGCAAATTCATAGCTCCTGGCCCATCCCCGGGTAATTCCATCCCCACCCATGCCCCTATAGTATTAAAATGTATTAAATACCCCCTGGTTTGTTGGATCTATTTATACATTTACGACCAAGAAGGGACGTATTTATCCATCATCACCACCAACGAAACTCCAACTCATGATATATGTATAATAATCATATTATATATATATATATAATATCTTAAATACATTATATATATATATATATAAATTATATAAACTACATATATAAACTAATATAAAATTTATATAAAACACACACATATATATATATATGTATGAATTATACATATATATATATATATATATATATATCGATGGTCAATATTCATGAATCTTCATTACATGCCCGTTACCGCAATCCAAAAGCAGACTGGCCGCAGGTTTCCCAACTTGGTGAACGTCCAGGCGCCGACTGTGAGCCTTACCAAGCATAAATGTGGATAGTATTGACATGTAAATATATATATATATATATATATGATGATGGAATATAGTAAAATATAGAGATACAGATAGATATAGATAGATAGATAGATAGAGATAGAGATTGAGATTGAGATTGAGATCGATATAGATATAGATATAGATATAGATAGATAGATAGATAGATAGACAGATAGATAGATAGATAGAGATAGAGATAGAGATAGATAATTAGATAGATAGATAGATAGAACGATCGATAGATAGATAGATACGATGGATGGATGGATGGATGGATGGATGGATGGATGGATGGATGGATAGATAGATAGATAGATAGATTAGATAGATTAGATAGATAGGATCGATAGATCGATAGATAGATAGATGGATCGATGGATCGATGGATCGATGGATCGATGGATCGATAGATCGATCGATCGATAGATAGATAGACTCACAGACAGACAGGCAGACAGACAGATAGATAGCTAGACTGACAGACAGACAGACAGATAGACAGACAGACAATCAGATAGACAAACAGAGAGACAGACAGATAGACAGGCAGACGGAGAGACAGACAGACAGACAGGCAGACAGACAGATAGATAGATATGCATATGATATAACAAGATCTATATAAAACTTAGCTAGGTCTGAACATGACAGTGGATTTACTATCTAATGGGGATACATGCAACAATATCCAAATATAGGTCTGCCCAAAAATAGTTGGTACCTCAATTTACGCTTGGTTTGATGGAGAAAATCTAAGCATCAGATTTTGAGTTCCTCCATGTTCAGTAAAACCGAAATCAGTCCAGACATGGCCTTACGCAATTGTTGATCTTAAATGGAAAGAGTGTGAAATTTTTATGATTCCATAATCGGAGAATCATCGGATGACTGAGGTTTGAATTTCTACGGATGACATTCCCTCACTGGTTGGGTGATGTTGGTGCAGGACATGTTTGCCAACACTTTCCATTTAAACTTTGACCAAAACTCCTGTTGATTGGCTACTAATTACAATAGATTCAAGATATACATATAAATACATAGATAATAGGAGATCATACTGCCCAGTTTATTTGGGTTTATTGTGCTCCATAGTGGTAACCCCTGAAGGAGCAGCCCTGTGATAAGTTGGTTTGCAATGCATTTCCGTTTCCATGTTTTGCTGTTTGCCCCCACCGTAAATGCTGTTCTTTTTATGGGTGTCCTGTCGAAGATCGGCCAGCAAAATCGCCTACGTTTGATCAATTAACAAACCATACAGTATATATATACACATATCTATACACATAAAATATACACATATCTATAGACATGTTTTATACACATCTTACATATATATATATATTAATATATCCATATATCCATATATGTGTTTTCCATGTGTTCCATAAATCACCATGAGGAAAACTCCACTTTTGGCAAGGTCTCCCAGGCGGCCCGCGAGATGATCATCTACTGGGCCAAGCAAGCGCGCAAGCGTGTGAAGCGCCGCAGGTCGACCGCCTGTACGGGCGCGCCCTGGGGGTGTCGGCCGTAGCCTTTAACAGGGCCCTAAAGTCCTAAATGGGACTATCACATATTATGTATATATATATATATATACATATTTAGAGATTAGAAATATAATTAGATATATATAGTATCACATTCATGTTTCAGGTGGTATTTCATCCCATTTATGAGTGTTATTGGGATGACATAATTTAAATAACTCCTGCAACTAGTTGGTTGTATTTTCTTTAGCCAGTTATAGAAATTAAGGGCAACAAAACTGCGCTGCATCCCCTTCCGGACTTTACAAAGCCCGCTCAGGACGATCCGCTACCAACCAAGTTCCAGTGAAGAAGAAAGCGAAGAGGATGAGGAGGTGGGTCGTCATGGTGGGGGAGGCCCTGCGGGGATTTTTTGGGATGTAAATGGAATATATATAAGGATTTTCTTGTGGACAAAAATCGGGAATACTTTGTGGAAGGATTTCAAAAATATCACAAAAATCTGGGATTTCGATGCGGATGGGGATTTTGTCGGGATATATTGGGGATGTAATAGGGATATCAAGATATAATTTCTGGATAAAACCAAGAATATTGAAGATGGAATCAGATATAATGGGATTTAGTTGATTTAACTCTGGACAACCCTGTATATGAACCCCTTAGAGCCTGTAGGGGATTAGCATTGTTTCTTCTAAGATGGTCAAATTACAATCTAGGATTATGATTTTGACTAGGAAAACTGGGGATATAAAGAGAACAAATCCAACAATATCCAATTATGTGTTTGTTTGAGAATAGGGTGTGTACATCACTTAGTAGCATGTTTATCGAATATTGATGAGTGTTCACCACCGTTTACCCAACAATTGGGACTACATCAAAACTATGGTAATCAATGTGAACCGTCTTGCTCCAAAAACTAGAGGTGCGACTTCTTGGCAACATATTGCAGGATCATATGGTGAGCAACAAAAATCAAACCAGAACAGTTGGTTTCATATTGGAGAAACATTCTGACTGAATAACAGAAAACAACCATCCATGATAGGTTGGGTGGTACCAGGAATAGTAAGGACCAATACCCAAACATTATAAAAGCATCGGGGTAGTTTTCAGCGTATGAAAGCCTCAAAATTCACCATTGTTTGTCTACTTGGCAGGAATTCCACATGAATATCTGGATGGAGGGATAAAGACTTTGTTTGTCATTGGATTGGTTTAAGGGAAAAATTACAGGAAAACCCCATATTTAATGGGAAAATCCATGGTTTCCTGTAGATTTTCCCTTAAACCAATCCAATGAGTTTGGCCAGGAAGAGGAAGAAGATACGCCTTCAGAAGCTGATTGAGGGCCAGGCTCCGCGGCTGCAGCAACCAGTGGAGTTCACCATGGTTTTTGCATGAGGATGTAGGCAGCAACTGATGGAAACACATGAGTAGTTCAATCATACGTTTATGTAACATATAATATATATATATATATATATATATTTATATTTATTAATATGGACAGATACATTTCATGATATGCAGTTGGGATTTCAACCAACCCAGCATAATTCAAACATGAAAAGACAACCCAAACAGCTGAAAAAGAAGACACGAAAACAGAACATGTAGAGATAGCTTTCATAGAACCTACCAAAAAAAAAGGGTCTCTTCGGCTTTGAGCCTCAACCGTGTTCCCTGGCGAGGTCGCGAGAAGCGCGACGAGTCGAGCGATGTACAGAGCTGCGCTCGTCCTCTCAGCACAAATGGATTCGTTCCATATGGAACTGAAGAAAAGAGCTGCAGCAAACTAACATAGCTATGGAACATGGACCATTTATAGATGCTTCATGATCGCTTCTTAAATTGGTTGGGAAAAGTTGGGAATTGGTCTTTGATGATTGGGAACATTACCCTCTGGTAATTTAACATAGCTATGGAAAATGGCCATTCTTAATCGGAAAATCCACTATAAATGGCCATTTTTAATAGCTATTTTGATATTACCAGAGGGTATAATATATTGATTGGTTCGGGAAGTTCTTCGATATTCTTGTTGATGAACTTGGGTTGAAGTCCAGGGTGGTCAAGAAGAAAAATCCCCAACACCGGAAATCACAGAACACCGTCAGAACACAACGGAAAGCATGGTGGATGATCCGGGGATAAAATTGCACATCTTTGGGACCAAACAATGGGGATTTCTTATGGATGATGGGATTACTGAATCTGAATTCGTTGGTCACAAATTGGTCATAAATTGGTCATCAATAACAATTGATCATGTTTTGATTATATTTGAAAGTATCTGCAAATCCTGGTGTTCTAGGTCCTCGCTTGCAAGCACTCACCTGGTGCTTTTTCACACCACTATGCATCTAGTCTGAGATGATTAGTTGATGATCACCGGAGATGGATTTCACTGGTCACGAGAAAACACGTCACCAAGAATGTCACCACTCCAAATCTCGACCTCACAGTACCCATGAAGAAATGCTCAAACAAATGCAACTTAAACTAGTTAAAATTGATGCAAAGATCACGTTTCCATTCCAGAATCCGTGGAAAATCCGTGGAAAAAAACAACAAAGACATGAAGAACTTGGAAAAAATCACCGGCCAACATGGCAACAGCCCCTATTATATGATTTGGTTGGTGGTTAGTTTGAAACATTTTTATGTTTCGATATATTGAGAAGAATAACTCCAACTGACGAACTCATATTTTTCAGAGGGGTAGGTCAACCACCAGCCAGATATTTTACCCAGATGATGTGAAACCTATTAAAATTAAATATGATACTATATATATATATTATATTATATTATATTATATTATATCATATTATATTATATTATATAATATTTTATTATATTATATTACATTATATTATATTACATTATATTATATTATATGTTTTATATTATATTATATTATTTTATTTTATATTTCATATTTTATATTATATCAACCACTATTATATATGTATATATATTATGATTCTGGCACCAACCCCTCAACAATTGGCAGCCGCTGAGCTTCTCGGGGGAGGGATGGAGCCGCTGCCGCATGCAGCAGGCCAGGGTGAGGGGGAAGGAGTTACCGACAGCGCTCAAAAGAGGGGAAAAACGTCATGTAGGGGATATCAGTGGATAATATATATATATATAGATATACACATAATTTTGTTGTGATATGCGTTACAATATATTTGAAATGTAATATGATGTGACATTGTAAATATATATATAATTATATGCGGAAGTATATATATATATATACATAAGTATATATACACAATTGTATGTTTTCTTTTTACATATATTACAATTTCATAATATATTCTTAAAATATTTATTATATATATATAGTTATTTAGATATCATGATGGGACAAGAAGTAGCCTTTAAAGCCTTTTAAACACTCCGACACCTTGGTGGATGTAGTCGGATAAAACCCCTGATGTCTCCAACTGAGTGCTGTTCTGGGCTCTAACCAAGCTGTTTGGTAATCACACGTTGCTAACTGGGCTGGAAAATCCACCATGTCCCATTCAACACTTCCATGTGTGGACTTTCCACTGCCATGTTTAACGTTTGATTGGGCCCGCAGGTCCACAGGAGTCCACATTTTGATGTATCCCAAAGCAGGGAATCAATCCTTGCGGTTGTTAGTCCAACCATATGCGTTTCATGTCAAGCATAGGTGTCCATACGTCCATGGCCCCCATCCAACATCATCCAACCATAGTTACAATTATCATCAACATCCATAAACCCAAATTATTTTGATGGTAATTGCAATAACCATAGTTTAGTATGGTTATAAACCCAAGAGTTACTATAGTTGCTATAGTTACTATAGTTGCAACAACAACATCAACATCCATAAACCCAAAATTATTTTAATTACGAAACAAATTACTTCTTTAGAAAGGCCACCTTGTGGAAAGTGATGCCGCCTGGGGTGATCAGTGGATTTCTGTGGCTTGGTTTGTAGCCACATTGATGGAATGATCTGATCCCAAGTCAATCGTTTTAAGACTTAGCTACGGTATAGAGATGACATGAAATGATGATGTGTCCACAATATTCTAAACAATTATCACTCGAGTATTGATCAAAGGAAATTTCTTTAGCGTACTTGCACCCCGGCAGAGCCGGGCACTACTGGTTTTCAAACATATGCACATTGGGGGCACACCACCCGCGCCGTTTTTGGAAACAAGGTGTTTAAACCCCAAGTTCAGCCTTCAAGAACTGGAACCCAACATAACTGGGAGATATCTTGGGATATGAAACATCGGCTTTGATGATATGGTTCCACAACAAATGAGCCTGCAAGGCTTATTGAACGTTTTGTTTGACATGTTTGGATATTTTGGGATGCTTGCTGGCGGCATTGATTCGAACCCCCTCCAAAAACAAAATGCACTTTGCGGCTTTAAAGATCCTGCACGCCTTTAGATCACATGGAGGTTCCCCCAGGGATGCCTCAAGCAGCGATGCCTAGTCTGTGAGCTTCCTGAAATTGTTGAACTTGCTCAAGCTGGTACCCTCTGGTTATGACTAACATAGCCATGGTATAGATGGCCCATAGAAATAGATGGTTTACCGAACTTAAAAACGGTGGATCTCTCCATGGCTATGTTAAATAACCATATGGTAATTGGAAGGGCCGTATTTATTAGCCAACGCAACCCCTTTTTTAGGATGCTAAAGTCTACTCGGAATCGGCAGAACCAAAAGAAAGTTACGATAAGTTACGCTTTTCCAGGTATTTGCCATTCCATTCGCCGCAGGTGGGCAGAATAAGGGGCAGCCCAACAAAGTCCAATACTAAACCAGAGCTTTTGGAGATAAACCCTCTGGTGAACTAACATAGCAATGGAAAATGGCTATTTATAGTGGATTTTCCCATTAAGAATGGTGATTTTCCATTGCTATGTTAGTTCACCAGAGGGTATATTCAATTTTGGGACAACCATTCATTCATCAAACCAAATCTGGGAGAAATCATCACACACCTTTGATTTCAATGGTGAAATTTTCTATTTTCGTGGGATACCTATGGCTAATCCCAAGTCTGCCATGTGCAGCTCCTTTCCTGTATTGTTTCCCTTAAGTCCAATGACAGTTGGATCATCACAAGTTATAAAATCATAAGGCCATTTCCCCTTCCCAGTCACTACCCTCTGGTAAACTAACAGAACTATGGAACATCGCCATCTTTAATAGGTAAATCAACTATAAATGGGCCATGTTCAATAGCTATGGCTATGTTAAATTACCAGAGAGTATTTTTTGTTGGTTAAACGGTTAAACCCCCAGTTGGATCACCGTTTTGGACGTTGCAGGTGCCCTAAGTTTCTTCAGACCTGGAGTTTCTGCGCGGCCGCCAATCTGGCCGCATGTCCGCCGTCCTGATGAAGGAATCTGACGAAAGATTGGGTTTAACCATGGAAGGGGCCGCTACCTAGCCAAGTTGGTTGATTTTTTTGTGGGTTGCGTCTTGCTATATAGCAGATAGATGTGGACGTGACATATCTTTAGTTAGGTGATTGTCATCATCCGGCCTGGGAATTCCTAAGAGGCAACCTGTATAATGGAATGGGCTTTGAACAGTGCTCAGTTGGGTTCCATCATGTCTAAGCATCAAACATATATATGTGGTAAACATGGGTATATCTTGCGAACCTTTGGGAAACCGCAAGCAACCTGGCCAGGTTGTGTATTATCAAAGTGGCAGGAAATGCCCCAGAAACGTGGACGATCTAAAGAGGTGGATACGTTCAGAGGTGGAAGATCTTGAGGCTGTGATGGCTAGAATGTGGCGCGTTTCCCAGTTAGATGTTGGATGATCTTCACCCACACACTACAGCTATAGCAGCTATACCCACCAGACACCCTGGCCCTAGCTAGCCAAGTTGTATAACAATTGAACTAACTACCATGGACTGAGTCAACTGGTCAATACTGTAAGTGCATTATAACTCACTATTGCAGAATTCAAAAGGGATATGACCCAGTTACAATCAGCAGCTACAAGGTGGGCATCCCTAGCTTCGGTTGGTTTATAGACGCCATTGTATTATTATTATATATGTTTTTATTTATTACTATTATACACATATATATATAAAGTATAATTCTGTCGATATACCTTCCATACCCCCAACACTTAATCTACTGGTTTCAACCAGCTTCGCTAGAAACTGGCGCGCCAGGATGGGCACGCTGCGCTACGTCGAGAGGACTGGGGCGCGGGTTTTCACCTGGCGGAGGGATGTCACATTTTTGGGCGACCCAGATGCCAGAGCTTGGTGGTTTCAAACCATAGTTATAATATGTTATAATCTTGCAAAAGTCTTGGGAAAGTCTTGGCAAAGTCTTGGCAACTCGTTCTCTGCTGTAAACCCATCGGGAATGAAATACGGTAAGGGTTTGAATGCTACTCAGTAGATAATATAATGTCACCCCGGATTAAACCATGGCTTATTAATTAGGGGGGTACTCCCCCAATAGTACCTTCCCAATTAAACAGCGTAGGGTTTATTAATCCAGGGTTGACATTACCCATTATTAACCTCAACTGCACCCCAAGTTGAGTAGGAACCTACAAGAACCAGCCAAAACTTGTCATTCTTTGCAGCATGTTTCTATTTTTTGTGGTGTTTTGGTATATCCAGTTGAATGGGTTTGGAACAAAGCCACCTATAGCTGGAGGGGCGCCAAGGAAATTCTTGAGATCTCAGTGGCCGACCTTGCTGCCATATCAACAAATACTAACTTTACAA